TTCGCAGCAGGGACTGGAGACGACTGCACGGTTGAGCTTCAGCTATCTCACAGTGCAGAAGCTGACCCTGAGGATGAATACGGTGGGAGACCAAGAATGTGGGCTGCTGAGAAAGGGTTTGAACCTATCGTAAAGATGCTTCTCGCAAAAGGCGCAAGTGTAGAATATCTTGACCAGTCCGGTGAATCTCCACTTCTTTGGGCGCTGAGAGCTTGTACGTCCAGGCTCCGTGAAAGGGTAACACGAAGCCATGGCGCAGTGATTACGAAGGGGACTGGAGATACAAACGATGTGGTTAGGCTGTTACTACGATATGGTGCCAACCCAAACATCGGAAGTCACCATAGCCGAGTGCCTTTGTTTTGGGCTATAAGCAGCAGCTCAGCAGCATCGGTAGAGGCTCTTCTAAAAGCAGGATGCGATCCAATCGCGAAAAACAGGTACGGACGCCCACCTCTGATGAGCGCCACGGTACGTGGAAAGGTCAGGGTGATAGCAGCATTACTCAAATCGCCGAGGATTCATCAAGATGCACTGGATGACTGTGGAAGAAGTGCAGTCACGGAAGGTCGGAGGGGGAAGAATTTTCATGACATATTGGGGATATTGTCGCAGTGCTCCGACAAGATAGCTAGTCTTCCCGAATCTATCCTCCGCTTGGATAGCTACCAAGGAGAAGTGGCTTGCGACATGTGTCAGGTCTATATAGCCGGTGATTGGGCGTATTATCGTTGCTCGAGACGCAATGATTATCAGTTTGCCCTTTGCGATGACTGCAAGACGCGAGGAATGGTGTGTCTGAATGGGTCGCATGAAATGCGTCAATTGGAACAGAAGCAACTTGACGCGCAGCGACGAATTAGGTTTGATGATATGTATTGTCCTTGCCGCGGATGGATCAGGCCTCGGTGAGATATACTAAACATGTGAGAGTTTTATGTCGCTAGGCTTACGCCGAATGAACAGGTTGGAATAGGAATAGAAGACTCGGCTTGGTAGCATCTAGACGGTGGATATGCAATTGCGATGCAACCCATAGAATAACGGACTTGTCAGAAAAAGGAACTAAGTGGATTCCACATCAAGCCTTGGGGCGATTCTGAAACGCCCATGGCCGCTGTCATTGTCTGATGCGGTGTGTGAGTGGATTCATGCGGGGAGATGGTACCCCCGGATACATTTCTGGATTGCACTGGGGGAATAAGCTTTTCGGATTGCAGGGTAGTTCCTGAAAAATTAGACGCTGAGGTATAGAAGATGTAGAAAGTACAAGATAATATGTCCCGTCAATATTGGAATATAGGTGGTGCAGTAAGAGCGGCGACATACTATCCAGCAAATCTAGACTAGACTATTACATGTGACACGGTTCATGTAGAGTACGATTTGCTAATTGTCCTGTAAAAGTGAGACAGTCTAACCCGACCGGAAGATATATTTGGCTGTCCGCTGCTGCTGCTGCCGGCTGCAAGGCGTGGATAAATATAGTAGCCAATAGATACCAGGTAGCTACCGTAAATGTAATTATCACAGTGCTGATGCCACGTCGTATAGATACGGGATTATTATAAGCCATGGCTGACTGCGTTGGAGCGACTCCCACTCGTATTCACTATCAGTGCTTTTCATCCATCCATCCTCAATATAAGATTTGTATTAGGCCACCCATGGAACAACGAGGCAAAGCCACCCATCCATCCCTCCGCCTAAACGCTGCCTGAAGGACAGAAGCAAAGATGAGCAACCGGGATCAAGAACACTAATCCAGGGACAGATTAGTGCAAGCCTCGTTCCCAAGCTGTGAGCCAATAAAATGTCGTGATAATGGCACCACTTCAGCTACAGAGCCAAGAATAGCCTAGCAGATCCCCGATCCGGTGGACACTAGGCTCTGTATGGTTTAGCGTGGGACCTAATCGGAGCTAAGCCCCCCTCGCCGACACTTGACCGGATGCGGAGAGGTTTCTTGCTAGTTTTTTTGCTCGGGATTCCGGAATGATGGTTTTGACAGGGTAGACGGGAGGGGATTTACATACCGATGGTGGAAGTGTCTGCGATCGGTAATGAGGGATGAGGGGTAGTCTTGGTGAAGGGGGGAATTATTTAGTGGATTGTTAGAGGTTGAGGCAAGGGAAATCAATCCAGGAACCATAGGATGAGATTTATCCTCCCCTGACGACAGGGAGAGAGGGAATGAGTCCACTCAATCAATGGTTGCCAATAGTCACGGTGACGGGGGGAGGAACAGACCAGGTCGCACTGGGTAACTAACTAATTGCATAGTAATTAACTCTCTGATCAAGCTATAGATAGGTCATCGGTAAGTTCCATGTGCTCCCATTATAAACTCACAGTAGTCGCGCCTATCACAATTTCTTCTCAGCAGAAAAGAGTAAAGTAGCAAAGAAAAGAAGAAAGTCACTGATTTCATGGTGTCGTCATTGATTCAGATTGCCTTCCTTATTCGGGGTTTTTTAGTCGGGACGTTCCCGCCCTTTTTTTCTTTTTACTTTGTAGAATTTTCTTGGGGTGTAAAAAATTGTGAAACATTTGAGACGGTTTTGACCGGTGGATTGACATTTCCGGTCGCGGGTAGGGAAGATACCCCTCACTCCCTTCACTCTTTAATACTCAGCTATCTATCTATTTATTATTATTATTATTATTATTATCAAGTATGTGTCGACTGCAGACCCCAACAGCCTAGACAATTGGGGTACCGCATTCATCCAATGCTATTCTAGAAGGGAATTGGCGCAATGGCTGGACTCTGATGCTGACGTTGACAATACCTTAGTTGGGACCTCCGTCGCTTGCTGCCCTCCCCATCTGGGATGAGCCAAAGAAGTGGTCCCCAAGGTTCAGGGCCATCCATCCAAGACAATCCAAACTCCGGTTATCCGTACCTGCAAGTAGCAAGTTGTATCTACCGATATAGTAGAAAGTAAGTAGTCGAGTCGTACTAGTACCGAGTAGTGGTAGGATGGGCATTGCAGTGCCACAATTTGTGCTAGGAATATTCCTTTATTAGGAGGACTAAACTAGTAGCATCGTTAACTAACGTATCTCCGATACTATTCCTGTCCATCTCAACCGACTGGATTTTCTCGAAGCTCCACTTCGGACCTGCCAAGCCGAACCAGGCCTGCCTTGTTTTTTCTGCCCAGTCATTTGTTCCCCGTTGACTAGTATTTATCAGTCCATCCACTGCCAGGCAACCAACTACTCTTGTCTTCTTTCCCATCCTTCCGGTGTGGCTTGTCTTCAACCCAATTCACTGTGTCATCTGAAGACTCTTGGGTGAGACACCTCACAGCCTTCCTCTCGCTAGCGCCCAGCTTTATTATCTGCCAACCCGCCATCGCTCATCTTCCTCTTCCTCTTTCGCTACTATCTTCTCGACTCAGTCTCCCGTTTCCTAATTCGGTATCGGATCGAACTATAGTCAATTCCGGTTCATCCATCGTCGGATTACCCTCTTCTTCCCCTGAATCTTATCACCAAACCCAATCACATCGATCCAGCGCCATGGCGTTCCTTACTCGCTTGCTTCACGTCCTGCTGCTGTCGTTGATCGCCTGCGCTGCTATCGCGGCCCCAACTGCCGATCAGTCTGATGCCGCCAACTCGGTGGTCGACTCGACTTCCCACGGCTATCTCAGTAGCTTCGAGGACAAGGCCCTGCATCTGTATGAAAAGTTCCGTCACGGAGTTTTTCATTCCGCAGATGACAATGCCCAGACTGTGGAGGAGGATGCTGCACTGTCCAGCCGGGCCAACCTCGCCAAGCGACAGGGTGTGAGCAATTCGACGAGCGCTGCAGAAACCAGCCAGGCGACGGAACCTGCCACGACTTCGGCGACTGCTGCGGCCACCACTCAAGCGGAGACCTCTGCCAGCAGCGCTGACTCGACTTCGGCCGAACCCACCTCCGCTGCCACCACCACCGCCGCCACCACCGCGCATACAACCGCCGTGCAGACTACATCTAGCTCTAGCAGCAGTGAATCCAGCTCTAGCAGCAGTGAGTCGAGCTCTAGTAGCAGTGAGTCTAGCTCCTCGTCCACGTCTCCTGTCACCACCTCCTCCTCTTCTTCTTCGTCGTCGACGTCGACCTCTTCGACTTCATCGACTTCGTCCACTGCGTCCTCTTCTTCTTCTTCTTCATCCACCTCCTCTTCTACTACCTCTGCCTCTACCTCTTCATCCACATCTTCTTCTTCGTCCTCCTCTCACACTCGGACAGCATCTTCTACCACCAGCGTGCCTGCCACCACCACCTCGTCGACCTCGTCCACTTCCACTTCCAGCTCGACCTCATCCACCGCAAGGTCGACCACCATGCACACCACGAGCTCCACATCGCAGGATACGACTAGCACGACCAGCACGACCAGCCAGCCCACCACCCCGTACACCTCCACCTACAAGATCACCACCACTCTGCCCGACGGTCAGCAGAGCACCGTGACAGCCGTGACAGTCGTGCATCCCACCGAAACCGCCCGCGAGGTGGCCACCGGCACCCAGGCGTCTCCGGGACTGCAGACCGACTCTGCTGCCTCTGCCAATGGATTCGCGCGCGAGTTCGCTCTCATGATGGGAGGAGCTGCCGTGGTGGCCATGGCCTTGTAGCCCTCTCTCAGCCTGTGACAACAATACTCTACCATTCAAGTGCATATTCGGCGTTAAATTTTATTCTCACATTTCGAAAATGTTTTTATGATACCTCACGATCCTTGAGCAAGCAAACAAGCTAGCATGTGCATATTTCTCCGGCGTCCAAATACCAGTCTCTCCTTGAAAGCGCTGCATAAATGGGTTGCAATTTACAGTTTACAATGGTGTTGAAAAGGAAATTTGTTTTTCATGATGACATGTCTCTCTTTATGATCCTGTCCCAATTTGCAACTACATACATACTATGTTTCCAGCGTGTGCATATTAGAATTGTCACTGCGACTGGTGTATTTACAACCAACTGAACCAACTGAACCATGTGAAACTTAACTGAACGTGAATAATCGTATCATATCGTACTCCTGGGTATTAAACTACACTTATCAACACATAATCCCACAACCTCATCGTATATATATATCCCCCACCCCCATAATCATAACCCCAACATCACACTCCTCATCCCATCCAACCCACCGACCAAATGCAGAAAAGATAATAAATCATAGAGTAGCCCTCTCCTCCTCGGTCCAAAACCTCACCAAACTTTCCCAAGCAGCCACATCCCCATCCCTCAACAACGCGGCCACATCGACATTAAGCGGCGAATCGGGTCTCGGATCCGTCAACAACTGATGAATCGCACTCAACGTACTACTCAAGGTATACACCGGACTCCAATGCTCCGTGGTCAACAACGTCAGACAGATCTCGCCCGTGGTGAAGCTGATATTCGGATGGCTGATTTTCGTCTTGAAGGTGATTTTCGGCGGGGTGAGGGGGTAGGTTGGGGGGATTTGGATGGAGAGGGTCCATAGACCATCTAGAAGCATTTTTGATGATGTTAGTTGGTGGGTGAGAAATGGTATGTATGTGGGGAGGGAGGAATAGGCATACTCTCGTAAGGCGTCCCCGGAACACCTTTTAATACTGCTTCCCAGTGGAGGAGGTCGTCTTCGTCGACGGGACCGAGGTGCAGGAGGGCTTCGTTCGGAGAGTTCGTGTAGTCTTTTAGTTCGCGGAGGAGGCGGTGCGTTGTTTGTGAGGAGGCCATATTCTTTTTCTTTTCCCGTTGGGACGATGTGAAGGTGTGTGGCTGTGTGAGTAGGTTGGTATGTGGAGGAGGGGTGAATTGATAGGAGTGATTGATTGTTGGATAAATGAATGGTGATAGATAAGGTGGATGGTGGATGTCGCGGTGGCTGGTGCGGGTGCGGTGCAGTGCTCCGTCGTGTCGCGCCGAGGCTCAGAACTGCCGTGGGTCTCGGCCACTGCTTGATTGGCTTTCCGGTCGGTCTCGGCTTCCGAACCCCCATGTGTAATCCGCCGTCACTGAGTCGCTCGCCCCCTTGTTGAGCCTAATTGCAGTCGATCTCGGATTTACTACATGGTTTATTTTCATGTGAAGAATTGTTTATACGGCACGGAGTACAGTTTATCCAAGCTAGAGCTAAGCTGGTATCAACATGCGCACTTCTCGGGCATCTAAAGAAACTGCCAAGGTGCTGCAGGCTTTGTCGCCTCCTGCTCGACGAACAACTCGCAGTTCGGCTCAGGCTGCTAGTTGCCTTCAGGGTTTTGCTTTTGGGGGTGCTCCTGCCCCGGATGTATCTGTCAGTGATGATGATACTTCCTCGCTCTCGTCTGTGCCGACGGTTGATATTGAGGATATCATGGAGCCGCCGGCCAAGCGTCGCAAGAGTGCGTTGAGCGCCACGTCTACCCGGGCGAATGCGCGCTCGAGCCGGAGAGCTGTCAAGACAGAGACTCCAATCAAAGAAGAGACTCCAATCAAAGAAGAGACTCCAATCAAAGAAGAGACTCCAATCAAAGAAGAGACTCCAATCAAAGAAGAGACTCTTGTCAAAGCAGAGACTTCTGTCGAAGAAGCACCTGTCAAGAAAGAACCACTTGAGAAGCCGTCAAAAGCACGACGGACGCCCGCTCGCAAGATCAAAACCGAGAATGGCGCCTACTCCATGCAGCCCCCCTCCAACTGGGAGACTATGTATGACATGGTCAAGAAGATGCGAGAGGCAAATCCCACTGCACCCGTTGACACCATGGGCTGCGCCGAACTCTACTGGCGTGCGTCCTCTCCGCGCGACCGCCGGTTCCAGACTCTCGTCGCCCTCATGCTGTCGTCTCAAACCAAGGACACAGTCACGGCGGTGGCCATGCAGCGGTTGCACACGGAGCTTGGAGACCAGTCGACGAGTATTGTGAAGAAAGAGCCTGAAGAGTATGACTGGAAGCCCACAGACCAGGTCAAGGACAGCACTCTCAATCTGGAGAACATCCTAGCCGTCACTCCTGAGCGACTCAACGAGCTCATTGCCAAGGTGGGCTTTCACAACAACAAAACCAAGTATATCAAGGCCGCAGCCATTATCCTCCGCGATCAATACGATTCCGATATTCCGTCGACTGCGACTGAACTGATGAAGCTCCCTGGCGTCGGTCCGAAGATGGCGTTTCTGTGTATGAGCGCGGCGTGGGGCAAGCACGAAGGCATTGGCGTTGATGTGCACGTTCATCGCATTACCAATCTCTGGGGCTGGCACAAGACAAAGAATCCGGAGGAAACCCGCATGGCGCTGGAATCGTGGCTACCGAAAGACAAATGGCACGAGATTAACAAACTGCTGGTCGGCTTAGGACAGACAGTCTGCTTACCTGTAGCTCGGAGATGCGGCGAATGCGATCTTGCAGGAACCAAGCTCTGTAAGAGCGAAATCAGGGGTCTAGTAACACCAAAGCGAGACGCTGCTGTGAAGCAGGAGGGGCCAAAGGTGAAGGTCGAGCAGGAGTAGAAGTTGAACCCAATCATGGGATTGAATGCCCCAGGCAACTCGACAGTCACTCTTAATGTTTTGTTTCAATTGTTTGGTGGGGAAACACAACCACCAGCCTTCTTCCTCTGTTGACCGTGTGTTTATCTGTGTTAACCAGACATCCCTTCCGTCAAATCATTAAGTTGTATTCTGTTGATCTTCGATAACGTTGTCGAGACTTTCATCACTGTGCTTCAACAGCTAGCTCGGCTCGAGTTACGCTCTCACTCGCGCTGTTAAGCGTAAGTTCATCCATCAGGTTGATTGTGTGACACGGTGAACCTACTAACTCGGTCCGATTATGTGCAGGTTGGATGGAAATTAGTGTCATCGAGGACGACAGTTGGATTATCGCTTTCGATACCGTTCAATCGACCATACTGCCACCTGGGACTTGCCGAAGGTCTGGTTTTTAAATTGTCAGGATGGAGGTCACAAAGAAGGGCCCTACCCTGTTCGATTTGCCAGAAAATATCAGAAATAAAATCTTCGACTTCGCTGCTCTGCGTCGTTCTTGTATCATCGACTTCACCCTGGAGCGAGACCGCATGAAGCGAGACCCGCCTTATTGTCATAGAACCGAAACGCGAGCGCATCGCAGCCCTTGGCTTCCGCTCAGCCGCTGCTATCATCCAAAGCTGCCGACACAGCTGTTCCTGTCGTGTCACACCCTGCGCCGGGAGGCCGGTGCCTATTTCTTCTCCCGTAATCGCTTCAGCATGTTTCTTCGCGGCCGGGCAGACTATAAAAGCTTTGAAGCATCATTGCAATGGGGCTTGGAACATATTCGGTACTTGCATGTGGATCTCGGTCATAAGGATAACCGAACGCTCAAGCTGGCGGGTGGTTCCCACCAAACATTGTTGACGTGGTGGGCGGAGTTCTGCAAGCTCGCAGCAATCGACATGCCGAATCTCAGATACTTCAGCCTCAAATGCAAAGCCTATGAGCAGGAAGTGGTTGTTCGTGTGATGCGTGATATGGATCCGTTTCCCAGCCTGTTCAAGTGCGCCTTCTATTTCAGCAATGATCAGGACAAGATCTATAGTTTCCTGCCTGTGATGAAGCGCACGGCGCGCCGCCTGACGGACAATCTTGATGTCCCGCCCTTTCCGTTCATGTATCTGCCCCGGGAACTTCAGCTGATGGTGCTCGGGCACCTGCTCATCTGTCGTTCCGATCCGTGCATGGCCGAACCTGCTCCGGGCCTGATCGTCTTGGATTACCGCGACCGTCTGCGCTTCAAATCCTGCTGTGGCACCTGCTCGCCGGTTGGAGGCATTTGCTTCTGTGATAAGACCGAGACGGTATTTTCGACGGGCTGCACCTGCTTCGCCTCGCCATTGCGCTATTTCCTGGTTAGTCGGGAGTTCCATGAGCTCGCTCGTAAGGTCTTCTGGGGCCGCAACAGATTTATGTTTGTGGAGGAGGATCCGACCTACACCATGGGCTTCCTGAGTGGCATTCCCACGGAATCAACGATTCTGGTGCAGCACTTGACCTTCCACTTTCCCTTGTGCTTTCGGCCCACCCCGCAGACGGGAGCCCGCTCCGCGGACGCGAATCTGCGGCACTGGGCAGTTCTGCGCCGTTTCATCCGGGAGCACTTTGATCTGGCGCGCCTAACCCTGAAGATCCATGACCAGGGCCGGGCCACGTCAATGTACACGATGGACAACCGCAAGAGATATTTGCGCCGGCTGCTTATGGAGTTTACCGACATGAGAGGGCTGCGAGGGTACCGGGTGTATCTGCGAGATGACCGCGGGTTCGAGAGACAGGCCGTGATGGCTGTCATGGGGCGATGGGCTCCTTGAGATGCCGCGATGCCTATCGGGTCTTGGTTCTTTCTCGTCTCTGGCAGAACAGGGACACATATCTTCGTGGTTTGATGGTTGTTGCAGATAGCGAGTTGATGCACATAGATGCGTGTTGTGCTTTTCTTTTCTTTTCTCCACTTTTTCTTCTCCTGTGTCTTTTCTTTGATAAAACATGAAAACTCGTCTCCATACAGATAGCGATCCTCATGCAGGTGATGGATGCCTATTCTGCTGTTAGTTCTTTTTCTTTCTTTTCCTTTCTCATGTGTCTTTCTTCAGAGAACACGAACACTTACCTCTCATGATTATCATCCTGATGCAGATAGATGCCTGTGGTGTTTTTATTAATTTTCTTCTCTTTTCTTCTCTTTTCTTTTCTTCTCTTCTCTTTTCTTCTCTTCTCTTCTCTTTCCCTTTCACAGAACACGAACACTTACCTCATGGGATTGACTCAAGATATGAATGGTTGAGTCTGATTCAGACTCAGCCTGCCGTTCATCCAGAGAGTCAGTGTCAAGATCATCCTGAGATAGCCAAGTGTTGACGTCTGCCTGCCACATATGCATGATATCCATCACCAACGATGTGACCTAGTTAGAAATAGTAGTCAAATAGATTGTCTCTTCATCATCCTTACCTAGTAGATAGACAGATAGTAGAGTGATGCACGTAACTGAGCAATAAACAGTAAGCAGTTAACAGTAAACACCAAAACCAAGCACCCAGAAAGTAAACTCAATGAAGAGAGAAAAGAGTAGAGAAGAGAAAGAAGAGAATCCCCGTGTTGTTCTTCCCAAGATAATACCTATTCCTCTCGCTCACCTAATCGACACCAAACGGGGCCATAGCAGATTAACTGCAGCATACGGATGATTACGAGACTGCCTCGTATTTTCACCCTCCTTCACCGGTGATATAGATACGGTCGTGTTCATACACTAGAAGTAGTAGCTAGGGTTGGTTCGTGATCATGCTGCATGCATGCATGCATGAGATATATAGATATGACTAAGCACCGCACCGCACCGCACCGCACCGCACCGCACGTCACCCCTCACAAGTTAAAGTCACAACTAAGATGAATATATTCCCCGCGCTATCAACAACATTATTCTCTAACTCTGTTACTATATACAATATTCCCCCAATCCCAATTCCAATCCCAATCCCACCCCTACACACACACACACATACATATACTCCAATAGACACACAAAATGTCCCCAATCCATCCCCCCACCTTCGCAACCACACAACTCACCCTCCTCCGCGCGGAACAAACCGCCGAAATAACCTCCAACAACCTCTTCACCAGCAGCGCCATCACCACCGCGTCGCCATCCACCCGACGCACACTGCAAGCGACAGGTCACGCCTTGACAGGTATTGTTCTCTCGCAATGTAGGACGGGGCTGGGGGGGAGGGTGGTGGGGGAGTTTGTGGCGGATGCGGCTGTTACCAATACTTCTTCTACATCTACTAATTCTAAATCTGGTTCCAAGGGTGGTAATGGTGGTGGTGGGGATGGGAAGTTGAGGTTAGGTGCGCATGGGGTTAGGGTTGGGGATGTGGTTAAGGTTGTTGAGATTAGTTCTAGTAATAGTTCTAGTTCTGGTCCTGGGGGTGGGAAGAAGGGGAAAGAGAAAGAGGGGAAAGATGGGAAAGGAGGAGGGGTGGAAGGGGTTGTGACGAGGGTTGGGGAGAGTGCGGTTTGGGTTGCGTTTGGAGGGAAGGATTCTGGTAAAGGGAGTAAGGATGAGGATGGGGTGGAGGAGTTGTGGGGGAGGAAGGTTTGGATGTGAGTTTGTCGTCTTGCTAGTTCCTTTCTTCTTTGGATATGTTCTTGGCTATACGTGGTGAGTGAGTTGCTAATAGGGCTAGGATCAAACTTGCCAATGATGTTACGTATAGACGGTATGTTTCCTATTCATTGATTCTACAAAGCTATACTTATCGATGGTATAGGATGAACCAAACCATGGAGAAAATGGTCAAAATGACCGACTCTGAACATACCCATTTCATGCGAGTCGCCTTTGGTCAGACATCGCCTATGTTGCCAGACTACGATTCTATCGGGCCTCTGGAGTTTACGGATCCTACGCTGAATGACTCCCAGAAGGAGGCCATTCGGTTTGCTCTGGCGGCGCGCGAGATTGCCCTTATTCATGGCCCGCCCGGGACCGGCAAGACGCACACGCTGATCGAGTTGATCGTGCAGATGGTGCAGCGCAAGCAGCGGGTGCTGGTCTGCGGTCCGTCAAACATCTCCGCCGACAACATCGTGGAGAGACTGGCGCCGAAAAAGGTCCCTGTGGTGCGCATCGGACATCCGGCGCGGTTGCTCCCGTCCGTCCTGGATCATTCATTGGAAGTGCTGACGCATACGTCGGAGGCGGCGGAGATTGTTCGCGACGTCCGCAAGGAGATCGATCAGAAGCAGGCCAGTATTCGAAAGACCAGGTCAGCGCGGGAGCGACGGGCCATCTACGATGATCTGCGAGAACTGCGGCGCGAGTTCCGCGAGCGCGAGAACAAATGCGTGGAGAACCTGGTCCGCGAGAGCAGCGTGGTGCTGGCAACACTGCATGGAGCCGGTGGCCACCAGCTGAAGAACCAAAAGTTCGATGTGGTCATCATCGATGAGGCGAGTCAGGCACTGGAGGCGCAGTGCTGGATCCCTTTGTTGTCGGCATCCAAGGTGGTCCTGGCTGGTGATCACTTGCAGCTGCCGCCGACCGTCAAGTCGACCAAAGATGATGTTAAGAAGATGAAGGCCAAAGAGGAGGACAAGAAAGAAAACGGGGAGTTGCTGGACAATGTCTCGCTGGAGACGACTCTCTTCGACCGACTGTTGTCGATGCACGGCCCGGGAATCAAACGGATGCTCACGACGCAATACCGGATGCACGAGAAGATTATGCAATTTCCGTCGGACGAGTTGTATGACTCGAAATTGATGGCTGCAGACGCTGTCAAGGCTCGACTGCTAAAGGACCTCCCCTACGAAGTGGAGGAGACCGATGACACCAAAGAGCCGCTGGTGTTCTGGGATACGCAAGGTGGTGATTTCCCTGAGAAGACCGAGGATGCGGATCTGGGCAAGAAAGCCCACCTGGGCGACAGTAAGAGCAACGACATGGAGGCTCTAGTGGTGAGCCGGCATGTCGATGCGCTGGTGGACGCAGGGATACACCCCGAAGACATTGCGGTGATTACGCCGTACAACGGTCAGCTGGCCGTGTTGTCGCAGATGCTGCGGGAGAAATACCCCAGCATTGAGCTGGGCAGCGTCGACGGATTCCAAGGGCGTGAAAAGGAAGCGGTGGTGGTGAGTCTGGTACGCAGTAACAGCGAGCATGAAGTGGGATTCCTAGGGGAACGGCGTCGTCTCAACGGTAAGATCCCTGCCAAGTGGCGAGGGTGCATGGACTGACAGCATTAGTGGCCATGACGCGGCCGAAACGGCATCTGTGCATCTGCGGTGACTCGGAGACGATTAGCAAGTGAGTGCCCCTCTCGTAGTCAGCATTTATTTTGTAGGCAAATCGTTGACGTTGACTGTTCTCCACAGGGGCAGTGGGTTCCTTAAGCGATGGATGGCATTCCTGGAGGAACATGCTGATTTGCGGTATCCGGACGCTGGCGATCTGTTGTGATCATACCTAGATAGACTAGCTACGAAGTACCCTCGGACGTTGCTTGGGCCATGAGTGTCACCGATGGGAGGTCCTGCAATCAGATGCAGTGTCGTGCAACGTCTGCACCGAATGGTCCCTTGCAGGAGAACAACAGACCGCGAGTAGAACAAAACACACGCGCAAGGGATGGCATTGGAGGCAATTCAGACACGCGATGAAAGAATTGCGCAGAGAGTAAATGGTAAAGGTATGGGCGCATTCCCCTGTCACGTCAACCATCCACATTCCATAGGTTAGCTAGAAATCTAGATTGTCCATGTGGCTGCTCGATGGAATTCCGGGAACCCCTCCCTTGGAGACGCCAAAGAAGAGGGGAAAGGGGAGATCATGCGTCATGGCGTTATGAAGTGTGCAGGATCTAGAATCCCACGAGCGGGACAGTCAGCCTTGCTTCTGTCCACCGCATAGATCGATACTTAAATAGATACTACTAGTGATTCGCTAAATGAAGGAATGAGGATGGTGTCCGACCGCGACCGAGGGAGACGGAGAGGGAGAGACGGAGAAGGAGGGAGGGCCCGTCAACGAAAGCGAACGGTTCCGAGCGTCTGATGGGCCAACTTAATCGGTTTGTGGACGGGAGCGGAGGGGGGAAGAAGACCACTTGGCGTGTTTCAGCATGGAGGATTGCCATCGTGGTCCAATGATGAGAGAAAACTAAAAGAGGAGTTGAAGCAGTGAGTGAGTGAGTGAGTGAGTGGAGGAGGGAAAAGTTGGGAATGGGGCCGAAGGAGTGAGGGAGGAACATTCATCAGTCACTGCATGGATGGTAAGTGATGAGTTGGCGCGGCACAGGTTGAAATTAAATTAACTCTTGCATATGCTGTATGCAGTAGTAGTAGTTAGTAGTAATGGTAGGATGGAAATTTACTGTTTCTTTTAAATGTTGAAAATATACCCTGGGAATATCCAGCAAGTAAAATAGTGAATTTGTAAATTAGTAAAAAATAAAACTAACTCAAACAATGGAATCTTCCTCAGCAATGAATCATCGTTATTTACTAGTCAGTATTTAACTTAGTGGTGATAAAATAAATAAATATTGTGGAACTAAAAATACAACCCCTGACACGCGCCGCGAGTGTTTCGAAATTCCACTCCGCTTCTTCTTCTTCTTCTCCATCCACCAGCAGCTCAGCTCCACTTTTGGGATGCGCTTCTCTCTCTTAGTTCTCTTTCCTTCGTCTCTGCCTGCTTGCTGCTCTCTTCTGCTGCTGTCTGTCGTCTGCTGCTTTTCCCCCGGTCTTCTCTTCCTCTTCTCTTGCAGCTTCCTTCCATTCCTTCGTCTCTAATGCCACTTTGATTGATTACTTACTGGTTGGGGTCCAACTCTATACTTCTTTGGTGATTTCTCCCCCGATATTATTATCAGGGCAAATATTCCATTCCTTTTGTTATTCCCCTCCCTCTTCTCTCTCTCTTCTCCTTCTCTGCTTCTCTCTCCTTCACCCACTCACTCACTCACTCCCACTCTTTCTCCATCGCCAATCCCGGGATATTCTTCCTGGATCCTCCCTGTTGGTGTTTGATAAGCTCAACAACTTCCCGTATTCTGCTCCATCTTCGCCGATCCCGCCCGCTTCTTCTGAACTTCTGAGACTCTCTTCCCTGTTGCTCGTGTCGGGGACTAGTGAATCTTCGTCTCCAGTTGCCCCCAAACTCTTGGGTTTCCCTTCCCCCCATTTCAATGACTCTGTAGTGTCTCTCCCTACCAACTCGTCCATTAACTCTGATTTACTTCCCCTGCTATTATTACTCCATTTTATCTATTTTTATTTGACCACCTTCTTCCCACTCTCGACTACTTCCTCTCTTCCTCCCCCCCTCCTGCTGACTCCTTGGCTTCATTCCTTCCGACACTCTATTCTATTTTCTTCTTCCAAACCTATCGATCATGATTTGAACCCTTTTGCCAAGGTCAGCTTCCCCCCTCTGACATCCATCCTTCCCAAGTGGATTCCCTGCTGATGCTGGTGCCCGCAGCCTCACTCCTTTAGATTCCCACCCCCTCCGCTTTTCAGCTGGTGGCTCTGCGCCTTGGCGTATATCCAATCGTTCCTTGTCCCTGTCTTCGTATCTGTCCTTACCGATCGCTTCGACTGTCTTCCCCCCCTTGCGCTCTTGTATGCCATTGGACCGGTTTGCACCGTGCATGTTTCATGTGTTGTCTATTCCTCTAAAGCCCGAGTTCCGACATGTCTGGTGCCAGTACAAGTACCACGCGAAGTGACTCCGCCCACAGTCGCATAGCCGGCTCTCCCACTTCGGACCCTGCAGCTGCAGACGCTTGCTTTGATACTGCATTACCGCCCATGAGTTCCAAACAGATGGTCGTCTCCACGCGTCGTCCACCCCGTGCTTCCGAATCCTCCCTGATCGCTACTAACCTCCGCAACACCAATCGCGCCGTCGCTACCCTGCCATACACTCCTCCCGGAACGACCACCATTGCTCGCGGGCCCAGCACACATCGTCGTACCGGCAGCACCCTCAAGACCGTCATGCGGAAGATCTTCACCCGCAAAAGCCGCGGGCAGGAGGACGACGATTCCGCTGATTGTCGGTTCGGCAACCACAGTCCGCGATCGAATCAATCGCTGGACAAGCCGCAACCGCTCTCCGGTTCGTGGAACGCCAAATCCACCAGTCCGTTGCAACAGGAACACGGGCCCGTCACCTCGTGGGAAGAGGCCCTGCGCAAGCTCGAACCGCACCCCCGCCGCCGACGGGCCACGCTGCCGAGCTTGATCTTTTCGGACGACGAATCTCGCGGTGCCCTGGAGGCGGTCGTGCATTCGGGCCGACCGACCAGTAGACGGGACAACAGTCCGCATGCCAACAGTGATCCGGATGAGGTCCGCCGCCGAGAGATGCGCCAGATCAAGCGTCGCTCCCGCAGCGCGACCGCCCTGCGCGGCATGGCCAAAGATCACCTGATGTCTCCCATTCAATGGCGACGCCGCAGTCTGGAGTCGTACGCCGGATCGACGACCTTTGGCGCGGTCTCCGAGGCAGATGCATCGGAACGACCCCCGACCCGGACCACAGTCGCCAGTGCCCCCAAACCCACGACGGAGCCGTCCTTCCTGGATGGACCGGATGAGGACGACGAGGAAGACGCACCAGAGGAGCCCATGCCCCAAATGGTGGGGACGCTAGTCAACTCATTACAACACGATGAGAACGTGACGCTGGAACAGCGACTGACCACCTTGGAGGTAAAATTGATCGACTTGGAATGTGCGATCGCACGCATACAGTCTGGGCGCAGTGAAACGCCGGCCGAGCCGTCGGGACAGAGGAAACCGTCACCCCCGACGACACGGCACAAGCGCAAGCAATCGTCGGCCCAGTCGCCGTCGGGTAGTGACGAGACCCCGGGCGCCAAGTCGCCCGGCGGCGCCGATCGCCCGTCTAGCACGAGCACACTGCGCCCGAACCATCTCCACCGCTCGCGCACATTGCAGGCCCCGTCGTCCACCTCGCTGCACGAATGCAATACCATCTCGGTCGAACAGTACAGCGCACTGGTGATGCTGCTGCGCCGGGAGCAGTCTGCGCGACGCAATCTCGAGGAACAGGTATCCAGTCTGCGGAGCGATGTCGAGCAACTCACGCGCGTAGCACGCGAATCCATGGGCATGGGTCCGATTTATCCTATCCCAATTGACGCGCATGATATTATGCGCATGCGGCAGGCCCTGGGGCCGTCTCCGACCAACTCGGGACCGCCGACGGAAAAGATCTCCCCGGACAGTGATTCCGAGGAGCGCCCGGAGCTCCCTCCGAAGGGAGACCTGTACCATCCGCGGTGGCCGTCGGCGCGACGCGTCGAAGTTGGCGGGATGATATGATGCCAACACTCATTCTTACTCTTCTATTCCCCTTCTCACCCTCCCTCTTCTCCTCTCTAATGACCATATCTGCTTCATACCCTCATTGGTTATTTCTTTTTTGGAAAATGTTCTGCTTGTGGTTATGATATCCTGCATGAGATTGCGTGCATGAGTGATACTGTACATACCAATTGCTTTCATCTACGGACTGGCTGCCGGGCTGCAGCAATAGACTTATAGATCAATTGAAGAAGAAAAGTCATAAATATACAACACCCAGTAAAAAGAACATTAACAAATATCAATTAAGATATACTAAAACAGCTATACACGAAGCAACAACAACACCTGGATATCTACCCCCACAACCCAAACCATGCAATAAAATAGGTGATCTCCCTAATCAACCTTCTTAACATCCTCCCCCTCCTCAAACCGCACCCTCTTCCCAAACAACACCGACCGCCCCAGCACCGAACCCAGCACAAAACCCACATACGCCCCGGTCAACAACGTAATCGGATACGCCTGCCACGGCCGATCCCTACACAATACACCCACCATTAGCCAACCCTATCCCAAACCCACCCCCAGGAAAAAAGAATGGAGAAAGGAAGAAGAAACATACCAATCCAGCGGCACCGGCACCGCCCCAAGCCACGCACCCACACACGTCCCCAACGCCCCACCCCAAACCACATCCCCAGGCCTTTTGGCCCCCCACACCTCCTTCCAAACATTCCCATCGACGCCATGAACATACACCAATGCCAAAGACGAGAGGATAGCCATGTGTGCGGCGCAGAGCACCGTCTGGGCATGGTGAGTCGTGAACGGCGCGCCGAAGAGAATGAGGAGGATGCTGAGGACGGGGGTGGCGAGGAGGGTTGTCAGTGTTAAGGAGAGGAGTGAAGCCTATTCCATTGGTCATAGTTCATTAGTGGGGATATTAATTGGAGAGGGGGAAGAAGGGGATGGGGGGAGGACGTACAACAACCCGTCCACGAATAGCCGATGCAGTGGACGAGGAGGACGAGGACGAGTCCTTTGTACGGCGGCGGCCGACGCGGCCGGGACGGAGGATCACGTTTCCGTTCGTTGTTGATCCAGTGGTAGTAGTGGTTGTGGACGATGCGCTGGAGGTAGCAGCAGCAGCAGTAGGGGTGGATGGGGATGTTGGTGTAGCTGCTGCGGTGGTGGTGGCAGAGTCGGTGCCAGCGGCGGGAAGACAGATCATCACGTAGGCGACGTGCGCGAGAGCCAGGAAGGGCAATTGCTGGGCCATTTCGGAGACCGGGTCGTTGACCAGCGCGGGGAATCGCGCGGCGAAGGCGGAGAGAAGCGCTGCTGGGTGGATGTAGGAGTAGGTGGTTGCGAGTTGGGTCGGGAGGATGTTCACCGGGGGTGCGGCGGGTTTGTTGGAGGTGTCCGGGGGCGCGGAGGCGGCGCTGTTGGTTGTGAGGGGGGAGGGGGGTGGAGAGGCCATTTTGATAGAGAGGCGATGGGCCTTAGGGGGGAAGAGAGGGAGGGAAGGAGGAATTGGGGAGGTGGTGAGGTTGATTAGGAGCTGTGGAACGAAGAGATGCTTCGGAGGTGACGGAAGTGGAAGAAGAGGATTGGTTTGGTTTGGTTTGTTTGCATGGGTTAGTCTGGGGTTGTGGGTGCCTTAGGTGTCAGGGGATGTTACAGATATACTTTGAAGATAGGCCCTACAAGTCGGAAAACTCTACTATTCTGCAAATAGTGTCATGTACCGTACATAATCTACACCTATTTAAAACACATGGCACGCCATCCCACAAGCAATACATACATCATTCGTGACCCATAAATGCATCAACGACGATCCTCATGGCAGCCTCAAGCCACCTGTGCGTGAATCATGTCGTCCATTTCCATATCCTAAACCACTTAACAAAGGAAAAAGTCAGAATTCTTCATCTATGAGGGTACAGCAGGCCCCGGTCCAGCGTCCGTTCCCTCCGTCTCTACTGGTGGAGAGGCAACGGGCACGGCCACGGGCTCTTGCTTCTGCTCTAAGCCAGGCACCGCAACAGGGCTCTCCGGTGTCCGTGGTTCTTCAGGGATTGCCGGAGGCAGTCCTGAACCCGGCAGTGGAGAGACCGGTGAACTTATTTGTCCCTCTTTAGGATAGCCAGTCACGTCGATCGGAGCAGGTCGGTTTCGCAGACTATCCTTGCCAGATGGTGACAGCGTGTGACTCGACACCGACAGGTCGGCTTCTGAGTTTACAGGGCTTCGCGTCCGGTCCCGCTCGGTGGACTCCTTGACACCATCCCGCACCTGTGCAACCTTGGCTTTGAACTTGCCAAACAGGCTGCGCTTCTCGGGTTCCACGAAAGAAGCGTCCTTGGCGGCCCCGTTGTTGCTGACTTCCGCATCCAAACTCAGGGGTTGATAGGACGGATCGCTAGCAAATTGCTGCAGATCCGAAGGCGAGCTTCTGCTCGAGTGATGCCAACTGCCAATCGAGCTGGTGCTTCGGTCAGCACCGGGTGTGGTGGCCATGAGCGGTGGCGACGCAAGTCCCAAGCCAATGTGCTCGTTACTGCGTTTGGACGAGCGGGGGAACCGCCAACTGCGGCGATGCTCCTTGCGCTCCGCTCGCGCCGCATCATCGGTAGGGTCAGCATCAGAGTAGTCAGTGAACGATGACCGGGAGTTCATCGACGGAGTCCGTGAGCCATAAGGCCGCAGCGATGTGTCGCCCGCCTGCTGTCCGCCTTCTTGCGGCAACAGCTGCTTCTCCGGCCTACCTTCTCGTGGCGGGCTCAGATCATCGGAACTCGTAGTGTTAGGAGCTCGCGGCGTCGCTCCTCCAGCATCATTGTTGGCCTCCGCGTGTCGGGAAGCATGCAGGATCGCTGCTAATCCAGTATCAGATGTCGCAGCCTGCAGCGACTGAGACGAGCTTTGCGCACTTTCACTCGCGCTGCCAGGGATTCGCTTCTTCTTCAAGCGGTTCGGCTGTCGCGGCTCTTTATGCTCACCACTTGGTGGTGGTGACTTGGAGAACAGACTCGAAAGCTTGCGTTCCCGCGTCGGCGTCACCACCGCCGGCGGGGGTGAAGCCGCTATGGGTGGCAGTCCTTCCCGCAGGATAGGCCTGTCACCGAAAAGCTTCTCTGTACTCCCCTGTTCAGGGTGTGGGATAGGTCTTTCTGCCATGAGCCTCTCCGCAATGGGCGCCTGAGCGGGCTTTTGAGCGATGGGCTGCTGAACAACTGGCCTTTCGATAGTCGGCTGTACAACAGCTGGCTTCTCCACACTGGGGTGTGCCATAGGCTTCCCCGTATCGCCAACCCCATTCCCATTCTCAAGCGCACTCTTTGGTACGGGCCCATGTGTGGACGAGTGGACATAGACAATCCCAGTCCCTGGCTCTACCACCTCTGTTATGGAGCCTTGACCATTTGTGGGTGGCGGAGTGCCCTGAGCAGCCTGGTTAGGTGCAGGGCTCACCTGAACATTGGTCTGAGGCAACTCAGATTGAGGTTGGGGCGCAGGCTGAGATTGGGGGGCAATCTGGGTTTGGGGTGTAACCGGGGCTTCAGGAACCTGTTGAGCCTGAGGCTGAGGAGCAACTTGGGGCTGAGGAGCAGGCTGATTTTGAGTAGGCTGGGGCTGAGGTTGAGGAGGCTGAGGGGTGTCCTCGGCAGGCGCAGGCGCACGACTGGACGCCCGCGAGTGTTGCGCAGACGTGTGTGCCGATGAGTTGACCCCTGTGTTCTCCACCGCTCGTCCATATCGTGATGGAGGAATCACGGGCGTCATCTTGGACGGCAAAGTATTGCTGCGATGTACCCCAACACCGCCCAATGAGGTCGGTGTTGCAGGGCTTGCAGCATTGGAGTTGCGCGAATTCTTCGATGAGACAGACACATTCCGGCGCAAACTTCCATACTTTCGGAAGCTCTCCGCACCGCCACTGGCACTCGACACCGAGCGTCGAACATTGGAATGAGTGGTGGGCCGGCGGGCCAGACCTCCTTCGACCTCCTTGACCGTCTGCTCGTCGGCGGCAGTGCCGTTCATACCAAACAAAAAGTGGTCCTGGTTCTCAATCAGAAAAATGAGGACATCCTGACTCAACTTGTATTCGTCTGGAGACATGTCGTGCTGCGGATGCGACAACAATCCTGGTTGGAAGATGGCAGACAGATTGGCCGACGTCATGCGATTCTGATCCGACTTGGACGCAAAGACGGCCAGCAGGTCGAGAATGTAGAGTAACAGCTGTTTGTTCAACGGGGGCAGCTCGCGGATCAACTGCTGGTAAGCCGCGACCGCTTTAGCATGGTCGAAGGCCTCCGTTTCCGCGGGCGGGGCGTTGTTCTGAATCTGTTCCTGGACCTGTCGTTGATACGTGCGTAGGGGTTCGCGAAACCGTTCGTAAAAGTCGAGCGGGACAATGGGTTCGGGCAGCTGGTTCAAATAGCGCCGAAGAACGTTCGCAGCATCATGCACAGTGTAGCCAGTCCAATCCAAGCCCTTGCCATACCGTTCGGGGGAGTCGAAGATTTCCTGAAGATCTTTGATGCGCTTTGCAGAGCCACTCAGACGGAAGATGCCCTCCACGTCGGTCGCTAGCGAGAAATACGTTAGCACCGATCTTATCGGACGGCCAGCATGGTCGATATACCTTTCTCTTTTAGATAAACTCCACACTTTGCGACCACGATGGGGACATATCCGTAGATGAAGCTCTCGCCGTTGTCGTTGGTAAGGGAAATGGCGACGTTGGCGTATTTAATGCTGACGTTGAGGGGGATGCCGAATATACCCTGGGGTTTCTCTGCAGCTCATTAGCATGTGTTTGAAAGTAGAGCCCATCAAACGCGACATTCAAGGTAGCTACGGAACTGCATGCTTGCAAAAGGCGACAGGCGTCGATGCGATGGGATCCCACGGACGCCCCACGATCGCATCGCCGCCGAGCTTCCCCGCAGCGCAGCAAACCCAACCCAAGATCCTAGTATACCACCACACATACCTTTTGGTTCCTCCTTTCTGGTATTTCTCTTGAATTGTCGCCACCAGGAAGCCAAATCACGTTTCGACGGCGGCGAGGTTGCAATAGTCTCAGGGGGGGCAGCGGTGGGTGGAAGCCGGTGCAGGGGATCGACACCCGGGTGCGACTTGCCGGTGGTAACCATAGTGGGCAGTGCGCGATGAAAACGAGGGTTCCAGACGAGATGCGACGTGCCTGCGAAGGTATAGAAATATAGCGACCGGACCAGACCCTGATAATCCGAGGCCTCCGTCACCGCCCTTGTTGTTGGCGCGAGAAATTCCGGGGCTGGGAGGCGTGATCCCAAAATAGCACGAGGACTAGTCAGGCAGCGGATTTTAAGTGCCGCGCCGTCCGAAACACGTACAGTAGCAGAGAACCGGTAAAACAGACACTGGGAATTTTTCCGACGGTGGAGAGAAAGGATGGGAGACAGCGAAGGGTGGACAACGCACTAGGAGAGAGACAGGGGCAATAGGGAGGGAGGGAGTGAGAAATGAAAGGAGGTTAACAAGGGAACGCAGGAAGCCGGAGTAGATGTAGGAGAGAGGGGGGGAAGATGGGGGCAGGCAGGCAGCGCTGGCAAGAACAAGACGAAGCAGGACAGAACACGAGCAAATCAACGAATGCCGGACTGTCCGTCAACGATGAACGGTTCGGGGGGGTGAAGATGGTGGTGGTAAATGATGAGCAACAATAAGGGAGTCTAGCAATCAGGAATGAACCTCAGGCTGAGAGGCTGATTTGGGGCCCTCCGACAGGGCGGATGGGACGGTGGTTGCGTGGGTGAGCAGCAGCAGAGATGCTTCTTGGCTGGTCTGGGGGTGAAACCAATGACCATCATCTGAACCAAGGAAACGCGAGAGTTGCAGTCAGATCGATAGATACTTCGGAGAGTTGGTCGTTGTGGTTGTAGATGGTGACGATGGTGGTGGTTACTATGCGTGATGATGGGGGAGGTGGAGGATGAATGAAGATGATTTTGGAGGAGACAGGAGGAGAGACAGGAGGGAAATAATGGAAAGGATGGAGCAACTGACGGACAGCCAACCAGCCAAACTGCGTGACAACCGGACGAACAGGCTTGGAGGCGTGGTGCTGTAGGCGGGACCCAAAGGGGAAGACGGAGAGGTAAAAGAATAAGAAGAGGAATGACCAGTTCAGTCACCAGTTCATCCACCAGTCAGACTATGTATGTATCTCTTCCTAGCAGCACCAGAACGAGGGATCAGAAGTAAAGAAAGGAATGGGTGAATCCCAGATACGTAGTTAGAATAGAAATAGGATAGATGTGTCAATCAGAAGATGGGAACGAGAAGGGGGAGAAATGGGAAATTGAAAACACCCCCCGCCAAGCATGGAGATGGATTGATTTGTTGCTCTCCTGGGAATTGAAGTTCTGGCAAGTGGCCCTGCTTGGGACCAGACCCCAGGGTTCCAGGGTTGATGGTTTGACCTCGACCAAACAGGTCCCTTTTTTCTGTGCCCTTTTTTCCTTTTTCTTTACTTATTTTCTCTCTTGTTATTTTTTAAAAACCCTTATTACGGAGTATTATCTACTAATTTTGCTTATTTTTAACCGCCATTTCCAATTCTTGTTTTTATTTCTTTTTTTTTCTTTTGGGACTCGGTTCCTTCTCTGCTTATTATTTTTCCAGTTCCGTCGGTTCTGGCCCTGGTTCTAGTCGACCCTCCGGCACACTAGCATGGGACACTAACTGGACCATTCTTCAATCATTCCGCTACGCTGGTTAGATTGCCCCAGTTCTAGCCAATTGCGTCAAGGCCCCTCTGAGACATGAGGCTATCCGGAGACCACACTCAAATGGACTCGCTCCTCCATCCGGATAAGGATTCTCGAATGCAGAATACCCTCACTCTCTCTCTCCCCTCTTTTGCCGACCGGGGATCCCCTCACTGGATGTGTGAATGAGTGAACCTTGTTCCTGTTGACTCACTGTCGCCTCCTCATGGCCGATCAGAGAAACTATAAATTGAGAAGGGGAAAAGATACTCTCCATTCCGCCAAGCTGCTACTACTACGTTTACAACAAGGTATATAGGCTGCCTGCCGACCCATCGGCTGCTCGTGGTTCCAGCTAAAAATATGGTCATGGACCCCCTGATGCAACCCTCACGGCGCTTCCCCTTGAGCAGCGATGCCGCACCATCAGGGTCTTACCGCGGTTCTCCAACCATCAACTGATGTGGCTGTCATCCCAAACGGCCCGAGAGACTGCTGACCCCGCGTCTAGTGGTTTAGTTCGGTCGTGGTGCGAGATTCGCTTGCCCGAACCAGTCCGTCAGCTGCCGATCTCAGGAGTGCAGTTCCAGGTGGCCACTCATCTATCTACAACAGCTTACCCACCAGGCTGTTGGGCTGGATCCCTCGCCAAGTTGATCGTAGGGCCGACTCTTCAGTAGCTCGACTTTGTACATACCGAATATAGGAACGTCCGATGTGATGGTGAAATGAGGGGAAGCTTATGCCATTGAGTGAATCATCACATTCAAATCTCAAACATCCAAGACTAAGCTTACTCCATGCACACATAACACATGGAATGTCCCCTGTTGGAGTGCACGTAAGTCCCAAGACATAGATATACAGCTCAAGCTCAGGTGTGGTGTTAGGGAAATGGGTCAATTTACGTAGGTATAGGAACAACAACCAACCAGAGATACTGCTATATGTTCACGACTATCATTGGAAGACGACATACCCCTATCCGAGTGGCTGGTACCACATAATTTCTTGAGATAGGTGGCTTACTGGTCTGCTGATCTCGGTGGCACATCTTCCACGCAATCACCTACGGGACAGCAATATAGTTTTGTATACTGGGTCCGCTAGAAGTCAGCTAACAACTTGACCAGCTCCATTCCAACAACCGACCCGTGCAAGCTCTGAGCATGATACACCGCAAAAGCAATGAAATCACCCCGACCACGATCCCACTAAGCTCCGGATTGGAATGTGGAATGGTTCTCCCCAGAACAAAACTTCCTAGATCCTTCGATCGAAGCCGGCTAAGACCTGTCGATTTTCTTAGAAGAATCATCCAACAAGCACCAAAGGTGGCTCCTGCCCGAGTCATTGCGGTGGGAATCGAAAGAAGATCTTTGTCCTTCTGGGTTGCTTCTCGACTTAATGGACCTCCGGTTGTGGACGGCGAACCATGGTTCTGGCGAATGGAAGTCTGGGGCCAGCTGGCCGTTGTGCTTTTTTTAACTTGCCCAAAGAATGGAACAGCGCCAGCTAGATTGTCCTGCTGTTTGCCGTTTTGGGATTGCCCTCGGTTCCGGCACTGGATGAGTCAGCACATTCACTCGCGGTCCGGGTCCGGTCACCTGATCGGAGTTGAATTGCGCACGTGATCACATCAGAGCCTGCGGTCCGTTGAGCAGCTCCGGAGCTACGGTCGTCATCACGACCCAGGCCTCTTGTTATCAACACTACTACCCTTTTTGATCAACCTAGCTTCAGCCCAATCACATCACAATGGAATCGTAAGCAGCTCACTTTGCCATCCCTTCTATCATAGGTTCCCCCGACGTGTACTAATAAGTCCCAGCCTCAACGCCTCTGAGCAGCGTGAGCTCGCCTCTCGCATGGAGAGACGCCAGATGAAGGAATTCATGACCGTACGTGAGACCTGAAAATAAACAGACATCCTTTCGCGTCGAACTCGGATCCAACCTACACACCGTCTATACCTCCCTGACCCATCCAATTCCTACCTTCGTCTATCATCATCCATATCCATCATCCATCTATATCATCCCTAGCTGGCCTTTTCAATTCTAATCTCATCTCCATAGATGTACTCCAAGCTCGTCCAGCGCTGCTTCGATGACTGCGTCAACGACTTCACCACCAAGTCCCTGATCAACCGCGAAGAGGGCTGTGTCCTGCGTTGTGTCGACAAGTTCATGAAGGGATCGGCTCGCCTGAACGAGCGGTTCCAGGAACAGAACCAGGCCATGATGATGCAGGGACAACAGCGGTAAATGGGAATTTAGCATGGGGTTCGGTTGCTTTGCTTTGCCTTGACTTTGGCGGTTTCTGTATAAAATATTAGAATTTTTGCAATGATGACATCCCCTAATGGCCGGCGATGGGCTCCGCTCGCTCTTGAGGAGCAGGTTTGGTTGCCGAGATCACAGTATGGAGGTATACTGTTGGTGCCGTGATTGTAATATATGGAATGAAATAGCATTGAGTAAACTGTGCTGTCTAGGATGTTGGCTAGTTGTAGCATGTATCAGGCATATTGGACATTTCTTCACGGTCATGGATGTAAAATCAGGATGATGAAAGTCACCGTTTTCACTATCTCCAACTCTTTTCCTTCTCCAACAGACGTGAGGGGATCAATCCCCACGAAAACCTCTACAAGAAGGTCTTAACTACGAGCCTTGATGTAGAGCAGTGACTGGAGCTGTGGTGATACAACGAGAATCAAACTTACCCGATCGGGACGCCGACAGTCAGCCGTCGGGTCTCTTGGCGTGCACGGGCCAAGAGAACCGGAAAACATTACCTAACCGGGTTATGCCTGAGTCATCGCATCGTCTGTCCCAATGGAGTCATTCTGTACGCCAGACGAGTGACTATCGAGTTATCTTTTTCTACTAGAGGGATATCAGAAGAATGGAGCTCCCTTACGTGCCCTTGAATGCATTGAGACTACTTTGGCGGAGATTGACCCTCCATGATAGATAACGTATCCAGTAGCTCCAGTCATGGCCCACTGCAAACCGACAATACCGGGACCGAACCCTGCCCGCCACCCTCATACACAATCATGCGGAGGCATGAGGGGATGAATGGTTAGTGTATGCGAGATAAATGATGCAAGACGGAGGAATTGATGGTATCGGGATGTGTACCCGAAACCCGGGCATCTAGAATGTGCCCAGCAAACAGAGCAAAACAGAACAAAAAAGGGAATGCCCCTCACGGCGCCCCTCTTCTACCCCCCCTCGTGCTCCCCTCATCGGCCAACTCCACCGTCTTTGCCGACCCGACCACTCTGCTGCCAATTTATTGCTGGCTCAACCTCGAGCTTCATTCTTCCTCTTCTTTCATCCTTTCTTCCCTTTTCTCATCCTTTTTATTCCCTTGATTCCCTCTTCCGGTTCCCTCCGGTTCAGTGATTGCCACCATCTTCGCCTAGATTCATCATGGCCAGCACTGTCGGACAGGTGAGTTTGTTTGTTCCAGCTCTAGCAACGACCAGCATTGACGTGTGTTTTGGCTAACTCTTCTAGACCATCACCTGCAAGGTAAGAAACACTCGAACAGTCACCTCCACGATACAGTATGCCAACCAGTTTGTAGGCTGCCGTCGCCTGGGGCGCCGGAGAGCCTCTCTCCGTTGAGGACGTCGAAGTTGCTCCTCCCAAGGCCCACGAGGTCCGCATCCAGGTCCTTCACACTGGTGTCTGCCACACAGGTTGGTGATTTGAAACAGCGGGATTCGAGCAAGGCTGACCGAGCCAGATGCCTACACTCTCTCCGGAAAGGACCCCGAAGGTGCTTTCCCCGTTGTTCTGGGTCACGAGGGTGCCGGTATCGTCGAGTCCGTCGGCGAGGGCGTTACCTCCGTGAAGCCCGGTGACTATGTCGTTGCTCTCTAGTAAGCAACTTTTTATGCAGCCGCAGACTGCGATTGCTAACGTTTGCAGCACCCCCGAGTGCCGTGAGTGCAAGTTCTGCAAGTCCGGCAAGACCAACCTTTGCGGTAAGATTCGTGCCACCCAGGGCAAGGGTGTGATGCCCGACGGCACCTCTCGCTTCAAGGCCCGCGGCAAGGACCTGCTGCACTTCATGGGTACCTCCACTTTCTCCCAGTACACCGTCGTGGCCGACATCTCCGTTGTCGCCGTGACCCCCAAGATTCCCACGGACCGTTCCTGCCTGCTTGGCTGTGGTATCACCACCGGTTACGGTGCGGCCGTTGTCACCGCCAAGGTGGAGGAGGGCTCCAACATTGCCGTCTTCGGTGCCGGCTGTGTCGGTCTCTCGGTCATCCAGGGTGCGGTCAAGAACAAGGCTGGCCGCATCATTGTGGTCGATGTCAACGACGGCAAGGAGGCGTGGGCCCGCAAGTTCGGCGCCACGGACTTTGTCAACCCCACCAAGCTGGGTGGCAAGACCATCCAGGAGCAGCTGATTGAGATGACGGACGGCGGTTGCGACTACACTTTCGACTGCACTGGTAACGTTGGTGTGATGCGGGCTGCCCTGGAGGCGTGCCACAAGGGATGGGGTGAGAGTATCATCATCGGTGTTGCTGCTGCTGGCCAGGAGATTTCCACTCGCCGTGAGTTTTTCCAGTGTCTAAAATCTGGCATCATGCTAACTGATTGCAGCATTCCAACTGGTCACTGGCCGTGTGTGGAAGGGATGCGCCTTTGGTGGTATCAAGGGCCGCACGCAGCTTCCGGGATTGGTTGACGACTACCTGAACGGACAGCTGAAGGTGGACGAGTTCATTACGCACCGCGAGAAGCTGTCCGAGATCAACAAGGCGTTTGAGCAGATGAAGGCGGGCGACTGCGTTCGCTGCGTTGTTGACCTGTCATGACCTGTTAAACCTGCCATAGCCTGTCATAATGTACACTGATGATAATCAATGAAAAAATTACGAGTTAGCTAGAAGTGTCTAAGTATACGTAGCAGCCTCGAAGGTCTATATATAGGCAGTAGTCTCCAAGGTCCTCATTGTAGAATAGTAGGACCTTGTGGTTTACACTACACGACATTGTCTGCAGCAAGTTTACCACTGCAAGTACGGAGTACACGGGAAGACGAACACGCTGATCATAACCCCTCACCTCACTACTAGCCACCTACTTGTCCTTGACTACTAGTATATGTACTACGACAGCTCCACAACAGATACCCCCTATCTAATCAGTACCAGTACCACTATCACTATCACTATCACGATATCGGAGGACCATCCGCTAGTTAGACACATACATCCTAAGATAACTGTTAATCTTATCACCATTCCGATTATCACCTCATCCAAACAAAAACAGTAGTAAAACATACTAACCTATATTGCAATCCGGGCAACCTCCGAGCAAAGAGACGCTTAAACTCGGTAATTAATGTCCATCAGAAGAGGGGTAAATGAGTAGATCGGCTCCGGGATCGGATTGCTCCTTATATCTAGTACTATCTGCTAGTAGTGAAAGTAGTAGTACCGTGTATATATACTTCCGTCACTACCACCAACATCCACCCTCACACACATCTCACTCAACTCAGTTACTACTACCATTGTTACATCTACTCCTAATCAAAATGACCATCCAAACCCAAACCACTCCAACCAAAGACCCCCTCACCCTCCCACCCCCCTTCAGCACCATCCCCCGCCACCCCCTAACCTTCGGCCCATCCCCGATCCACGCCCTCCCACTAATCACCTCGGCCCTATCCCCTCCACCATCCACCCCCAGCACAACCATTTACGCCAAACGCGACGACCTCTCCTCCCCGCTCGCCTCGGGGGGCGGAAACAAAACCCGCAAACTGGAATACCTCATCCCAGACGCCCTTCGCCAAAACAGCACAACCCTGATCTCGATCGGCGGGATCCAATCGAACCACACCCGCCAAGTGGCCGCGGCCGCCACGGTGACCCGGCTAAAATGCCGAGTAATCCAAGAAGACTGGGTGCCGTGGAGTGACCCCCACTATTCAAAGGTGGGCAACATCCAGCTGTCGCGACTCATGGGCGCAGACGTACGGCTGGACCCATCTGGATTCGGGATCGAGCATAAATCCACGCTCAAGAAGCTGGAAGAGGAGTGTATCGCGAACGGGGAGAAGCCGTATTATATTCCTGCGGGGGCGTCGGATCACCCGTTGGGTGGGCTGGGGTTCGCGCGGTGGGCGTTTGAGGTGCGGGCGCAGGAGAAGGAGATGGGCGTGGAGTTTGGGACGGTGGTGGTTTGTGCGGTGACGGGGAGTACGATGGCGGGGATGGTGGCGGGGTTTAAGTTGTTGGAGAAGTTGGATCGGGAAAGTGGGAATGGGAGGGGGAGGACGAGGGTGGTGGGGATTGATGCGAGTGCGAAGCCGAAGGAGACGAGGGAGCAGGTGTTGCGGATTGCGAGGGAGACGGCGGAGAGGATTGGATTGGGGAGGGAGGGGGTGACGGAGGAGGATGTCGAGTTGTGGGAGGAGTGGCATGGGGGTGTTTATGGCGTGCCGGATAAGAGGACGTGGGAGGCGATTGAGTTTGCGGCGAAGACGGAGGCGTTTATTACGGATCCGGTGTATGAGGGGAAGAGTTTTGCGGGGATGATGGATTTGGTGAAGAGGGGGGAGATTCAGGGCAATATCCTGTTTGCGCATTTGGGGGGGCAGTTGGCGTTGAATGCGTATTCGGATTTGGGGAAGACGCAGTAGATACTCTTACGGGGTGAGATATACGAGTGACAGTGTCATACAACGATAGTGTGAGAAGAATAGTATGAATGGTACTTATTGATATTCAAAGAGTGACTGTAGTTGGCTAACAATGGTAAAGGTGGTCAACGCCTAGCATTACGGCTAAGCACGTACGAGGTGGCTGTCTAGAACAGCTTGTGCTCCAGAGTCATCTCCGATTCAGGCTGCAGTCCAACACACGCCCGGAAGATGTTGGTCAGGGCACTGCGCTGCTTCGTGAGCGAGTTGACCACCGGAGTGCCCGGAGGAGTCAGAGGAGCCTTGAGCATGTAGCTCAGCACGCTGAGCACGCTGTGGAAGCCCTTGTACTCGGCCGCCTCGTCCGCCTTCCAGCTGATGCGAGTCATCATCTCGGCAATCAGCACCAGGTCAATGATCAAGGGCGACGCCAGCAGCGAGTCCTCGCAGATGTTGAACAGACTGATGGTCTGGTGGCCACCCATGAAGATCTCCGCGTAGTACTCGTCGAGCGCGCGCTTGTTGTCGCCCACCGCAGGCATGTACTTGATCACCACGGTGTGGTCGGGGTGCTCGTCCTCGGCGTAGAGGATCTGGTTGGCCGCGACCATGTCGTCCACCACGTTGGACTTGGAGATCTCCTTGGACCGGAACTGCTTCTGGGAGCTCAAGTTCTTGCCGTCGTTGTTACCCAAGTGGTTGTAGCTGGCAATCGAGGTGAGCTTGATACCGGCGTTGATCAAAAAGTCAACCAGAGCCGACTTCATCTTGGTCTGGCCCGACTTGAAGTCGTCTCCGCCAATAAAAGCCTTGTGCTGCTCAGCCAACTGGATGGCGCCAGGGACGAAGGTGTTCTGGGGAGAGCCGTTGATGAAGGGAACCTTGTCCAGGATACAGGCCACGGCAAAGACAGTGGACGGGGACACCTCCAAGTGGCTGGTCTTGATAGCGTTGAGCAGGTTGTCGGCCGTGTCATTGACGCCAGGCAGGATGTCGGCGTAACGCTCGGTGTTGGCAGTCCACATCACGATGACCTTGTCGAGGCCGTTCTGCGCCTTGAAGTCGCTTGTTTGGGTCAGTGAGGAAGCAACAATTACACTACAGCAAACTCACCGAATGTCCTGCTGGATCTTCTCAACGTGAGCCCAGCATGCCTTGGAGCCCTCGAGCACATTGTCGGCCCGGTCCTCCTGGTTGGCAGCGATAAAGTCCGGGTAGTAGATACTAGGCAGGGGCTTCATCTCGGCCATCTCCTTACGAACCTGCTGCTTGAGGGTAGGCTCCAGAACCTGAGCACGGTCCATGGAATCGGCAAGGTTCATGCTGCTAATGTCCCAGCCACCAATTGCGAGATCATTGGGGTGGACCATGGGCAGCATGTCGTGGAAAGGAATGTTGATCTCCTCACCAGTCTTGGCGTCAGTACCGAGCTTGATGGTGGAACCCATGACCACAGAGCCGTAGTAGTTGGAGGCGCGCATGCCCTCGCGGGTCTCCCATTCGAGACCCCGGCGGTTGGCAAGAAGACCTGCGGTCACGGTAGAACCATTGTTACCACCCCAGCCGACCATCATGACACCCACCTTGCCCACCTTGCGGTCGACCTTGAAGTGGTAGTTGGTGGCCTTGGGAGTGGCAACGAGCTTGTTGTCGGCAGTGCGGGTGATATCAGTGGTATGGTAAGCATACTGGCTTCTGATTTCATTGTCGGTGTACACGACGTTGGGCGAGTTGACGGTAAACAAAGGAGCGTTGGCACGAGCGGACCCGTTCACGGCGCCATTGGCAGCAACATCCGAGCTTGCGTGGGGAGCCATTGTTCAGTTGACGATTGGCGTGCGAGATAGATAATACGAGTGTTCAGACTGCGAGTTGTTTACTGGACGTATAATGCGTAGTCCGGTGCCCCACCACGGTTGGATGAGCGCCGGCCGTTGAACGGGTGGTGCCGCCTGAAGAAAAGTAGACAGATTAGCCATGAGAGGTCTCCGGAAGGTGGTTTTCTTGAGGGAAGGTCCAATTGCTGTTCTTGGAGCATTGGGGGTATTGGGATAGGGGCAGCCATCACCGGGAGACGGCGGAGAATGGTGGGGAACTTACGAGTTAAGAAGTGTGGCGAAAATTTTGACGGTTTTTTATCAGACCACGCCTCAGAGAGTGTGATCGAAGATTGAATTGAACGACTTGAAGACGATTGCTAACGAACTGAAGGTTTTGATGGGTGGTAGAAGGAGGAAGGGTCGAGGGAAGCGAGGAGGAAACGGTACTTATACGGCGGGTCACGTTGCTGACCGTATCCGGATCCAAACTGCTCCGCACCCCCAACCAGCTCAACAGTGCACTAGTCCGCCTTCCTGGCAAATGACAGGCTTCAGGGATTGTCTAGCGAGATGTTGACTTCCGAGTGCCGGCGTAAAAGCGTAAAAGGTCAACCACGTCCAGCGCATCCCACAAATGACAATTGCGGTGAGCAGATCGTGTCCATGTCTTCCGGATACTCATGAGTTTGACTGGTGAATGAGAGGCTAGAAATTGCGACAGAGTGAATGTGGCTTACGGACTGTGACTTTTCAATACATTGAATCTATTCCTTCCGGCTCAAGATGGCCATTCCGCCATACGAATCTGCTATCATCTGGCAGTATCTCGATAAACCCCCGCTCTGCCGTTCCCGGCATTGGCCTGCCGCTAGCCCATGAACGGCGAGATAGGATCGTAGATGCCATTTCCAGGAGAGAGCAAGCAGCGGTGTCCCATCTTTGGGACAAAGACAGACTTGAACTCAGGACAGGCAATGGACTCCCCAGGCTGGGGACGGAATGTGGCCTGGGCTCCATCCATCATCGATAGTGGGTCGTTTAGGCAGTGGGAGTCGCGGGGCTCCGCCCGCGAATCGCGATAATGGCAGTTCATTGCCGACGCTGACACCAGACTAGAGCTGAGATTGATGCGAGTTCATAATACAGAATGTAAGCCAGAAATTTGCTTCATGGATAAAGAGTAGTCAAAAAAAAAAAAAAAAAAAAAGAAATTGACCGATACAAGTCGGAATTGCTGCTGGCACGAAGCTCGACAAGAAGCTCTCGTGATGTGCGGGCAGGGGAGCAGCGGAGAGCTCGGCAGACGAGCCGTGGTAGAATCACGACCCCTGGACTATCCATCGGTAATGCGTGCATAACGGCCCAACAGGATTGCTGCCTGGATTGTGAAAGGGGGACTAGCTCATAGCTATACGTGCTTGTCTCCACCATACGCTGTGTGTGTGTATGAGTGGTGTTCCAATGACTGTGTGTAATTTAGTAGGGTTCAAGCTAAGCACACCAATCATGATGCTCTCCTGCACCGCTGCCGTTTACACAATCATGTGATAGCGCCCGCTGCAAGGTCCTCAGGCAACACGGCACCCAGAGGATAGGAACGCAGCCTCAGGCTGTCAATCGGCCGTGGGATTGGCGGAGGGCGGGAAACATTCGGGCAGAGACTCGGCTAGACCTTCGGCAAGCAAAACTAACCGATTCAAACGCCATGGGCTGACGACGAGCGACTGCGACTCAGTGTCAAACAGTGAGAGATCCGCTTGACGCGCAGAATATATAGTCAGACCACGCTAGATCCATCATCCAGGAGCGGTTCCATTGAGAAGTTTTGCGTTTAGAATATAGTGCTGTATACGGAGTAGAGCTTGCGCGGAGCATTGCACCAGTACTCCGTACACACGACGGAGTACACAGTCCTACTAGAAGAGGGATATTGTCCGCCAATCGGACTCAAATCAGTGGCCGTGCATATCCCGTAGGCAGGTACCCATGGGCTGTCGTCAGCCAGATCATGAGATCGATCCTCGTCTACGCACAAAGCATGCCATCATTGTTCACTTCACAATCCTTAGGTATCCTACTCAATCTTGAGAGCACTGCGCGTCGCCGACTGCCGGGTACTATTGGGGCCGAACCATGGTACGGAGGTCACCGGTTCCTGGACTCTACACCAGCTAAGAATCAGCTGGAAGGTTTCGATCTGCATCACCCGGACACTGGTCCACCAAGGTGCGTGAGGGCAGTCGAGGGGTTACGACTGTTCTCGAAATTCGGACAGTTTCTAAACATATATCTGCCAGTTGTGACAGGCCATCGGTTTCCCAGATCGTCGGGTCCAACCAAGGAATGACAGCGTATATACACTCTGCTAAAACCGGGCCCCTTGCTTCCTGCTTAAGCTTCCGGAATATACTTTGGAGTTGGAGATGGGGTAGATGCAAATCACATCTGCTTGCGGGGTTACGGGTTGGGGTGATTGTCCATCCTCATCTTGAACGTTAAGATTGGGATAAGAGCATGAGATGTCACTTCTGGGGGCCTGTGCTGGGTCGCTTCGAAGGTAAAGGAATATTGATGATGCTAGAAACGGAAGAAGAGGCACAGCACTCCATATAGGGGGAAGTAATAGGGGAAGATTATTGGTGTAGACCTCCAACCGATAGACGAGGCTCGTGCGTTCCAATTTGGAGGCCTGCAAGTTCAGTCACAGACGGATACACCTCCGTCCTGAGGGTGACAGACGGACGACGACACCATGAAAAACATATTGAGCTAGACTAGTTGCCATTCCACTTGCCAAGTTAGACTGGGGGAGGACGGGAGAATCGTTGTTAGTCACGGGGGGGCGGGTTGCCCCTGAAGGATGATCTGCGGTGGATGATGGTTCAGGGGCTAAGATGCCTGGGAGGCAACACTATCGTCTGGAAGGTCAAGAAATCGGCCATTGTTGCAAACTGATTGGGGTGGTGGGAAAGGGGTAGATAAAAATAAATGAGAGTCAAACCGATATTGAGTGTGAACACGAAAATTAAAAGGCTTGACCGGGAGGTTCGGAGTGAAAGTAGGGTAGAGAGTAGAGTAAAATAGAGTATGGGGATGCGACCGGAGTAACTCTCGGTCAGTGAGTGTACACACCGTAGATGTCCAGCCATAGGAATCACCCGTCGATAGTCATGGAATAATTATCCTGAAGACACATAATCGGAAAGCAAATCAGCCTCACTACAGGTTTCTTCTGTGAGTAAGAAATCATGCCAATCGCTGACCTGACACCAAAGAAGAATGTGTTCCGACCCGCGGCGAGCTGCAGCCAGAGCCCTTCTAGTCTAGTCTAGTCTACTTACTCCGTAGTAGTTGTTTGTCAAGGAGAGAGACATGAAGTGGTGCTAAAGCAACAACGCGTGTTGGCTGGATTGGCCCCAGGGCCAATCAGGGGGAAACATTGCTGGAAGGGTTCGTGGATCGCCCCAAACTTCCAACTTTCTCACTGCGAACACACGAGGAAGTTCTCTAGAGTCCCACCCAACTAGAATCGGTCTTTTCTGCATCCCAGACGGGCTAACTATCCACCCACTGGACACACACTACACTGGCAACCAAGCTAGTCTAGTCTAGTTGTTTAGTGTTTCTTTTCCCCCCAGCCAAGAGTTTACTACTACTATTAGTATGAGTATTTTGGATGGGCCCTTCCCACTCCCCCCCCAGTCAACAATGGTTGGTGCTTGTGCTTTCTCCCTTCACTCTTTTCAGATCCCGACATCCATGCGTCTCTAACCCAACTCCTTCTGGCTCCATCCAGATCGTCCTGTCGCGTCGTGTCGTGCCCTTGACATCTGGGGATGAAATTGTTCCCCTCATGCGAGGAGTCCTGCACTGCATAGATTCACACGACCCTTCAAGCACGCGCCCGGTGTGGCCTGGACGAGCCACTTTCTCCCACCCCCTCACACAACCCCCCTCCACCCGCTCATTCCAATGAGCCAGTGACTGGTGGATATCTCTTCGCTATTGTAGACTGTCGCCGTTGCCCAGCATGGCATCCATCATGGAGGGGGGCCTACTGCCCATGATTAAATGCTCCAATTGTGGAATGAGCGTGGAAATCTCCTCCATGGGCGATCATGTGTGCGTTAAACCAATGCCAGGTAACTATTCTCCCCAATCTTTCTCAACTTCAACTATGCTGTCCACGGTTGGAATGCAATGTGTTGACCAGTCCCTTGCAGCGACTCTTTCGCCCTCTCAATCCCCTCCGCCGCCCCCGCCCAAATCAGACAATGTGTTACCCTCCAGAACTCCCAGCGATGCCTGGGCCTCCAAGTCTGGGAGGTCCGGCCCCCCGCCTCGCATTGACCCTGCAATGGCCAGTATGTTTATTTGGATACCACGCGAGCCTGCGCCATCCATATATTAGAGTTATGCGTCTCATGCAGTTAACACCGGCCTTCCAGATCGTCCCTTCTTGAACCCCGCAAGCCCGATTGCCAACCACGACCCGTTGGTCCCCTCCCCTCTTTCAACGTCTTCAGGTCAGCGATCGCCGTTCAGAGCGCTCCAGCGCAGCCAGACCTCTCCATTGCCCGACGAACCGCAATCGCCGGATTCGATTAACCTGGAAACCGCGTTTGCGACGTTCCCCTTACCCCGTTCCATGTCGGACAGACGCCCGGGTGGTATGTCGAACGTAAAGGATCCCAGATCAGCACCACCAATGCCATCAGCTCGATTAGCGCCTGCACTGGACCGAAATGAGCTGGATGACGATGTACCTCCGCCACCGCTCCCGAAAGATGACGCTCCGGCAACGGCCATGGGCGTTGGGCATAGACATGGCGCTTCGATAGACAGCAAAAGCAGCTACCGGACATCCCTGGCAAGCACACGATATGGAGACAATAGGAATTCCAAGCGGTCGACTGCCATGTCGAGCCGCCGCCCTTCGTTCGGAAGCGTCGCGCGCGATCCGTACAAGTTCGTGGATGATGCTCCCCCAGTGCCGTCTGCTGCACCGCAACAACTTCTGCGCCCCTCCAGGATATCGGACACCTCGGTGGCCGGAGTCGCGGACAAGCGTGAAGGCAGGGGGGAAATATACAGTGGCTTCGATTTTGGAGTGTCGGAACGGCCGACGAGCGCCAAGGCTGAGATTGACCATGTCAATGCGAGCGCACTCCGAGTCTCCTCGCATACCAACAGCAACTCCGATCGTCTGAGCAGCAACCGCGGCTCAGCAGAGTTGTTCTTCCAAAGCCCGTCCCAGAGTTCCTATGGACCCCCGCTGGACTTTGAGCTACCCAACGAGCCGCTGGCTTCGCCTGCGACCCCGGCCAACGGGGAGTACAAGGCCTTCAAACCACAGAGCTCTGAATTTCTCCAACCAGCAGACGCTGAATCTGGTCGCACCAACGAGCGGGATACCAACCAGAGGAAGGATTCTGACTCAACCAGTGAGGGAAACAACTCCGTCTCCAACTTCGCACGAGCATTGGGACTAGAGGTCGACCACACCGCGAATGATTCAATCACCTCGTCGGATTCCTCGCCGTCCGACACCACCAGGAGTGGAACGTCTCTATCTAGTCTGCCGTCGGAAGCCAGTATGTCCCGACAGAAACCCTCAGACCAGGGTCGTCTGGGTCCTGTTGTGGAGGAAGAGAAGAAGTCTCAGCAGCCTGTGCTGGACGAACCGGTCCTCGAAAGTCCGACGGAACTCGAGCCCCCTCGCATTCCAGAGGCCTTATTCAGCCCGGACTCGCCAACTGACCCTGCCATTAGTCAGGGTAGCCTGTCGCTTGTTGCTGAAAAGAAACCCCGACGTCCTGAGGAGGAGAGCCCACCGCGGCAAGAGGTGGTGCGTTCTGCGACGGCACCGCAGCCCCGACCCTCACCTCGGCCCAAGGGCCCCTGCCGTGGTTGTGGTGAAATGATTATGGGCAAGTCCGTGTCATCGGCCGATGGCCGTCTGACGGGTCGATACCACCGCGCCTGTTTCGTGTGCTTCCAGTGCCGGACGCCGTTCCAGACGGCCGACTTCTACGTCCTGGAGGACCGTCCCTATTGTGCCCAGCACTATCACGAACGCAACGGCTCCCTTTGCCAAACCTGCCATACTGGCATTGAGGGTCAGTACCTTGAGACTGTTGAACGCCGTGGCCGTGGGCCCGCGGATCGTCAGAAGTTCCACCCAGACTGCCTGAAATGCCGCACCTGCCAAATTCCCCTGAAGGGAGATTACTTTGAATGGTATGGCCAGGTTTACTGCGAACGTGACGCCCGACGGGCGGCAGCTGCTACGCCACCACCCCCTCGTCCTCGCCGTCCAACCATGCCCTCGTCTCCGTTAGCCCCGTCCGGCCGTGGATACCCCCCACCGCCCCCAGGGTACATGGGCCCTCCCGGCCCTGGTCCTAACGGCTTTGGACCGCCTCGTGGACGGGGTCGTGGTCTGCGACCCCCCGGCCCAGTCGATGGGCCGTACGCAGCGGCGGGACCTCTTCCTCCCGCGCGGCGTTTCCCGGAGCGCCGGACTACCAGGTTGATGATGATATGATATCCTTAATGGCTGTTCTGATGGGCGTTATGCTGCGGACAGCTATATTTTCCGTTTTTCTTTTGCCAGTATTTTCCAAGTTCTTGGGCACATTTTTTGCCCTCCACATTTCCTTGCCATGACCTAGACCTTTCGCCATATACCCTTCTTTTGCATCTCCAGAAATTGGTTCCTCATCGTTGATTTCTTTCTCCCCCTGGCTGGCGAGGTTTAAACTGGGGTCGCTTCTCTTCTTGTCTGTTGGTGGTCACCAACAATTCACGATTACACTGCATAATGTCTGGTGTCATCTTGGTGTTTCCAAGCTGGTTATTCTACTTGGTTGGGTGGCTGGATATCCTCTTGACGGCATGTTAGAGCGTTAATGTATGATTGATTAATTTCACATTAGCAACATTATTGTGCGGTATGTAAAGGTCACTGTAGATTCTCCAAACTAGAACATTCGTGTGGTGTACTGCCTGAGGCCGAGGGAGTCGATCACCTGACCAGGAAATACATGTGCCGCAGACTCGAGTATTTCCACGACTACCACATTCAGTCCCCTTCTATCGAAGTGTCCATAACTCCGACTGTGGATTTCGCATTGTGTCATCAATTTATCAAGTCTCATGCGCCCAGTCGGATGGAAATGGCTTGCATGGATATTCGGTAAGACCATCATGCTTGCATATCCCTTATTCGGTACTTTACTGGCGGGGTTGGGTTGACTACCAGCTCTGGTGTTTGGTGTCCACTGAACCAATTGAGTCGAATCTGGGGTAGCACATAACGAGGCTCCTTCGCTTGACGTCAAACGAATTCAATCTGGTCCGGAATGAGCTTCGACAAGGACTATTCAATTCTGCTGATTCAGCCGGCTCGCAAGAGCTGCGAAGATAATTATTACAGAGCCTCAGTGGACCACAACAGACGATAAAAGAGTTGACTTACCGTTCTGAAAAGATGCATCTTCTTCGTGGCCAATGCACCTGGCCGTCCTTGCTTCGTGTTCTCTTCCGTCTGCTGCCCGCTGCAAATAGTACGATTGATACTAGGTGAACTGGTGGGGATGTTGTCTGATATCTTTGGTCCTGTCTTCTTCGGAGGAAGGTTCAGCGGAAAATGCGGCATTTCCATAACGAGAGGGATATCAGGGGATTGCTCTCCGCCCTCCTGGACCTCCATAGTTATGGGGTTGGGATGTCCCGCATACCCAGGAGTCGCTGGTCCTGTGAGTGGCACTGCAGTTCGGGCGATGTACTGGCTCTCCGGAGACTGAGTTTGGGGCACTCGGCTTGGACGGCGTTCTCTAGCGGCGCTCTCGATCTGCCTCAACTTTGTGTGTGTAAAGGTCTCTCTGTTCATCATGGCTGTCGAGCGGGCCATGTGATATGCACCCAGGGTTTGATTGATGTCCGCTGCCAGGGCCTTGTATAGACGCATGATGTCTTGAGCCTTTGTTTCGGCCTGCACGGCCGATATCCACCGGATTTGGTGGTGATTCCGAAGGCCAGGATCACGCTCGAAAGCTTCGTGTATCTGACCTCGTGTCGATATCATCTCCTTGAGGGCCTTGCTCATATACTCATATAGTGTCTCGGCCATGTCTCTGCACTCAAGAGCGTATACTTGTGACTTGATCATGGGCATACCAGCAGTCTTCGCCTTTAACACGGAGTCGATAGTCTGCCATGACTTGACTGTTTTGTCTTGGAGATGGTTGACCTGGATGATGGCATCTTCGACCAATCCTAGCGTGGGATTCTGATGTGAGCCAGCGCGCGTTGTTCCTAGCGTTGGGATAGCGGTGGGGACATGCACGCCGCCGCGCGGGGTTTCTGGCACTTGCTGTTCAGGCACTTCCCTTTGCGGCTGTTTTCCCTTGGAAAGGTCACTTTGGGATCCGTCTTGGTGGTCTTCATGACGAGCAACTTTCTCGTGATGCTTTCCTTTCCACAAAGTCAGGATTGACCGTCGTCTCTGGGTTTCTCCTTCCCTTTCTTGCCGGGATGCTGCTGGGACTTCTATCCCGTTCATCTTGGTGTGCTGTTCCCGCTCAGACTGGAGAGAATATTCTTCCGAGGCGGTGTCTGTGCGTGCTTTAGCTTTGTGCTGGCCTCCTGTATCGACTTTTGTACTGGTGGAAATATCGGACGATCAGCAAGTGGATGGAGCATTAGCTGGAGAAGAAAGATCGGTGGCACCGATCGAGCAACGAATGAGTTGAAGAAGGCAATGACGTTGGGAGTCTGTGGCTTGTCCAGGCTGCCACCTCAAGCTGGGTGTACCTCGGAAGAACAACGTGAACCATGGTCAATGGGAAAGGGGGTTCCTGTTTGATGGATCAATTCATTGCTGCTACGTCAATGTTCGTCATTCCCCAGCTCTAAAAAGGTTGTCCGTGCGGGCAGCTTCACAAGCTTGTCTGGAACTATAATGCGGACCAACCACAACGCATGACTCGTGTTACTACTGTACCAAGCTCACCGGTAACACAAGGGGTAAGATGAAGAGGACCCTTCTTACTGAAGTTGTAGACATGCACAACATACTCATCAATCTCGGTCTATCCTTCCTCCGAACAAACCAGATCGTGCCAGCGCATCTTGCATATCGGCAGCCAGCCACAAGCGGCGGGGGATCTGCATATTCCTGATGGAGTCAACAACACTTATACCCCTCCCCCTCCGTCCAGCTCTCTATCTCCCCAAATTCCTCTTTCACTCCACTAAACACCCATCTCAACGAAACTACCCACCATGTCTGTCCCCTCCGGCCTCCCCAACTACACTCGCCACATAACCAGCCACAACTCCTCCGGTGAGGCAATCGTTCACTCCTCCACCCCAGGCGACTGGACAAGCATCGGAGAAGACCGATTCGGCTTCAGCGTCGCCTACACCACCTCATCGTTCCCGCCTGACCTCAACAATGACGCCGACATTTCCACCCACACAGCCAAAATGGAATCCAAAAACCTCGGGCTCGTCAGTCCCAACGGCACCGTCTGTCGCGTGGTGGACTTCGCACCCAACACAGACCCATTCATGCACCGCACGCGGAGTCTCGACTACGGAGTTGTCCTGGAGGGCGAGATCATCATGGAGCTGGACTCGGGGGAGAAGGTGTTGATGAAGAAGGGCGACATAGCCGTGCAACGGGGGACGATGCACGCATGGCGCAATCCGAGCAAGGAGAACTGGACGAGAATGCTGTTCGTGCTGCAGGACTGCAAGCCTATCTCTGCGGAGGACGGCAAACAGCTGGGTGAGGATCTGGGGGAGTCGTCGGAATTGCCTCCTTCTGATGGAGCTAATGCATAACTCCAATCACTATCTATACACTAAGACTCTATACACAAACCGACAATGAATCATGACAAGATCAAGGAACCCGAATAACAACCTTCCCAAAATGCCCTCCACTCTCCAAGAACCTAAACGCCTGATCAGCCTCCCCAAACCCAAACACCTTGGAAACCACCGGCTTAATGCCCTTCTCCTCATAGAACGCCACCATTTCCTCAAATCGATCCCTCGGACCATTAATAATCCCCTGCAGCGTAACCGTCCGTCTCAGCGCCAGCAGATTGACATTAATCCGATCCTCCGGATCATCCACCTTGCCGGACAAATACCCAATGCAGTTAATCAATCCCCCGAAAGCAATACATTCAAAACTCTTCCTCAGCGTCCTCGCACCCCCAGTCTCAAGAATAACATCCACCCCCTTCCCCTTCGTAATCCGCAGCACCTCCTGATCCCAGTCCGGCGTAGTCCGATAGTTGATAGTGTAGTCCGCACCCAGCGCCTTCGCTTTCTCCAACTTCTCATCCGACGAGGACGTGATAATCACTACACACACACACACACACACACACACACAGTCTCATTAGTATCCATACCCAACCCCATCCCCAAAGGGTAGAGAACACATACCAATAGCCCCCAACCCCTTCGCAATCTGCAACCCGGCGACCGCGACCCCCCCAGTCCCCTGCAACAGCACCACGACCTCGCCACCCTCACCAGCGCCCCGTCCATTCCTCAACTTAATTCTTTCCTCCAGACTCATCCAAGCTGTGACACTCGCAATGGGCAGCGTGCTCGCCTCCACATCGCCCAGATGCCCGGGGGCCTTCACAAGCCCATGTTCGGGAAACACCCTGTGTGTCGCCAACACCCCGGGCTGGGGATGTCCCAGCCCATTCGCCAGTTCCTTCTCGGTGACTTGGCCGGTGATGTGATCGGGTAGGAAGGTCGAGAGGACGCGATCGCCGGGCTGGAAGCGGGTCACGTTGGGGCCGATGCGTGTGATGGTGCCGCACATGTCGGAGCAGGGGACTTTGTGCTCCGGGGTGGAGGTCGAGGTGGATTTGTGGTGGGTGTATTCGCCTTTTGTTACTGTTGTTGTTGTGGTGGAGGGTTAGTAGGTGATAGAGGGGGGAGGAGGAGGAGGAGGAGGAGGAGGGTAAAGGGGGGGGGGAGGGGGGATTACCTTCGACATCGCGATAGTTGAGAGATACAGCGTGGATCTCAACGAGGACTTCGTGATCTCCTGGAGTTGGGATCGGGATGTTGGTGGTGGATTTGGTGAGCGAGGAGAGGCCCGTTAGGGGGGTGGTCCATTGGGTGAGTGACATCTTCCTCTTTCTTCTCTTTTTTTGTTCGGTTGTGGTTGTAGTAGGGGATGTTGTAGTATATCGAATCAGTGGGATAGCAATTGGAAGAATGTGAAGAATGAGGGGAAGATTAAAAAGGGAGGAAAAAAGAAGGGAAAAATTGGAGTAATTGTGTTGATGTCACGATGACCCACTGCGGGGAGGGACAATTGATTATCAATCAACAATTCAACAATAGGAGTGGATGCGCAGTTCTTCACGGAAAGGGTTAACCGGATAGAGAGTGAGGAGTGGAGACTACTTAGTAGTTTTATTGTGGTTGTGGTTGTGGTTTCCGACTGGGTTGGGGAGTTGGAATTGTGCTTTTGGGTCGGGGTATTTTGGATTGGGTGGATATTATGGTTTGAATAGTGCTATTTTACCTGAGGTATGTTTGCACAAAGTAGAGCATTGCCTGCTTATATCAGACCAGATAAGGTTCTTGATTGATAACAATAACACGGGGTTTGGATTTTATTATTTTTTATTTTTTCCCCTTCTAAAAAGGACAGTAGACCATTAGGTATCTCTATACAATTGATTCCTCATTTCGTCCGCAGTATATAAGGCCCAAGTGTGTAACCGTTCATAGTTACCCACTGTTAGTCTGCGATACCTAAGACTACATCGTTTTCCCCGTCCGCCGTGTCACACTTGTGCTCCTTGGGAAAGATCTAATGGTATGGAGTCAGTACAATCCGTGCTACCTTTGTCCTGACCCTCCGCATCCTTCAAAGAAGCTGATTCAAGGGGTGCCTCCGGGAGGTGCAGGTCAGCCAGCAGACCGAGGCGAATAATATGGCTACGGTAGAGATCTCGTTCACCGCGGTAATAGTCTCTTTCCGCAGTGAGGGACCGGATCTGCTCCGCCTGCAGCAGCTGTTGCTCGGTATCCCAGTGCGAAGGCAGTCTGGGGACCAAGTAGTTCCTCCACATGTCACGATAGTCATCTCTTTGCTTTCTTAGAAATCGAATTTCCCTAGCCTGCTGCCGGATTTCGCCGGCCTGCTCCTGGATTGTCTTATACTGGCTGGAATTTTGGCGCACCACAAGAATGTGGCGAAAGCGCCAGGCTGATAGTTTCGCTTGATAGTCTTTTCTTGAGTTGTCGAGCTCATCAGAAGCTTTAGACTCCTCAATATCCCCATCTCGGTTTGATTCGTGGTCCACATGCGAACTTGGTAAGATCTCGTCCAGCACAGGTGGCTCAGGGACCCGTGTTGCCTTGTTATTCTCCTCCTTGGGAGTCCTTGTGAAATGCTCAGACAAACCCAAGAACCTCCGAGACGTAGGTGACTTTAAGGAAACTCGATTCGGTCCATCATCCCAATCATTAACCCGGTTGAGGAGCTCATCACCTGAGACACCATTAAGAACGGACGTGTGAGGGCGTTTGCACGAATTAGGGGGATGGGAAATTCCCGATATGTGACTACCGACGGAGGAGGCGGGAGAAGCTGGTCGAGACATGTGGTGCTAAGCGACGGTCAAAATTGCGGTGTGCAAGTATTCAATCTAGGGACTATGTTCACTGAAGAGATGGGTCGTGAATTCGGAGAGATTGCTGACAGCGCCTTACGCAGGGGCGTCAGGCGCTGCAGGTTATAAGTGTGTGAAGATAGGCTGAATGCCAGTGATGAGGCTGAGCAGGCCGCCACGTCAACTCGCGTGCGGCCCAACTTCGCCTTCAATCACTGTCGGCCACCATGCCAGAAGGCAATTCTGCAAAAGAGTACTGTCCATATTTACCTACCCGCCAAAGGCAAAAAACGCCAGTACTTAACATAGGAAAGATCGTTTGAGCTGTGGTGCCCCACTCAGCCAAGGGCGGCGGAAGGAATACGGGAAGGCGTATTAGTATTAATTTAAGCTTGTGCCCCCCAACCCGCTTCACGATGCCATCGGACACACTGCTAGAGGATTGCACGATCGTCTGGCTTTGCCCCTTGGAGGTTGAACTCCGAGCAGCCATTGTCATGCTCGATGAAATCTCCGAAGACGTCCCCCCAAGGATTCGTGGACAGAACGTCGTCTACACGGTCGGTGACATCGGCACTCACAAGGTGGCTGTCGTCGGTTACTACCAAGAACAAGGTCTCGCCGTGTCGGGCAGCATGGTTGCCGAAATTGTCAGGGACCTGCCAAAGCTGCAACTGGGTCTCTTGGTTGGTATTGCTGGCGGAATCCCATCGCCAGGAAGCGATATGCGGTTAGGAGATGTAGCAGTGGCTGTCCCCGAAGGTGATCGCCCTGGAGTGGTAGGATATGACCTTGGAAAGGCAGTAGAGGATGATGGCTATGAACTGAAACACTGGCAAAACTCTACGCATCCGCTGCTGCGATCAGTAATTAACCTACTTCGAGCCCTAAATGGTCTGCGATTCCGGAGACACTTGCAAGTCCTAGACACGCTATCCGAGTTTCGGAGACCTGAACCGGGTGATATAGATACCACTGACGCGCATCCCAAGGTCCATTACGGTACGATTCTCTCGGGAAATACGGTGGTGAAATCAAGAGCCAAAAGAGAACGACTGAGAAGTCTTTATGGCGGCATCGCAGTGGAAATGGAAGCTGCTGGCATGATGACGCGGTTGCCAGTGGCTGTGATTCGGGGCATCAGTGATTTTGCAGATTCGACCAAAAACAATGCATGGCAACCGTATTCGGCGATAGTTGCAGCTGCATATGCTAAGGAAGTTTTGCTGTGTCTGCCTCCTGAGCATCGACAAAGCCTGAGGCGTATGTCCGGTACGTTGGCTCCGAAAAGGAAATGTTTCGAGGAAGCTTAAAACTGCAGAACTGATCTCCACCTTGGCAGTCTCTCTAGACAATAATGCGCAACAATTGAAATCAACACCATTCGCAGATCAGGACCTTCGTTTAGGTCGGACACTGCCAGAAAAGTGGGCTTTTGTAGGAAGACAGGAGGAAATGGCGCTCCTAGAGAAGGAACTGGGCTTTCCAGCACAATCTCCCATACAAAGGTCGGTTGTCTGCCTCTGGGGCCTCACTGGTAGTGGGAAGTCACAGTTGGCTGCTAGGTTTGTGAGCCAACAGCGTTCAAGTCACCCAGCGCGCGAGATCTTCTGGATAAGCGGCGAAAGCCAGGAAAGCTTCGAGCAAAGTGTGATTGCCATGCTAAAGTCTGGGAGTGTGGAAGATTCTTCCTTTTCTGGGCGTCTGGATATGACCGCCGAGAAGCGACGTGATCTCGTAGATCTGTTCTTCGCTGAGCTGGATCGGATGACGGATGCGAGATGGCTGCTGGTCATTGATGGTGTCAATGGAGCCAGTCCCTCGTCAAATGGATTCCCATTTTACGACATCCACAGTTATATCCGGCTTCTTCATCGGGGATATGTTCTCCTCACTTCTAGGAGGCGCGATGTGGTTGAGAAGTATTACCTTGGCCATGAGGTGAGAGGGTTGGATGATAACGATGCCCTCAGTCTACTCCAGTTGCAAGTTCATCCACAGCTTATGGAAGGTACTTTTCTGTCGCCTGTCTTCGCCGTGGTTTCCAACTATACCTGACGTATTACATTTAGGGGCGGCAGATTTGGTGTCCATGGTCAGAGGCCTCCCATTAACACTTCGCCTTGCGATGTCCGTTATATCTCGCTATAGGTTATCAGTTCGGGAATATTTAGAGATGTGGAAGGGGTATAACGAAGCTTGTGAGGTCTTGGGGCCAGATCAAACATTATATCGCTCCATGAATCTGAGCTTTGAGGAGCTTGAAAATGTTGACCCAACCGCAGCAAAGGTATTAACTCTCTTCAGCTTCCTTCACAATCGTGACGTATGGTACGAGATCTGTCTTGATGCTACAGAACATATCTATCCGCAATGGCTCCAGGAATTGGCTAGACATAAGACGCCATTCAGGCGATTTTATCCTCTATTGGCCGATTTGTCCTTCATTGAGATGAAGATTACCTCCAAAGGTGTCCGGTTATGGGAGATACACCCTGCAATCCAAGTGATTGCCAGACAACGGGCAAAAGCTAGCGAGAAAGAATACATATCTTGCGTGATATCTCTTGTGGCTGCTAAAGTCCCGAGATCTTTCGAGACTGATGCCTGGGAGACTATGCGGCGACTAGTGCCCCATGTCGAGTTGTGTTGGAGTTACATTACGGGGGGCAAATGGGGACCGAACACTAACTTGACTGAACTGGAGAAGTTGGGGCATGTATTCAGAAACTTCGGGAAGTACTTCGAGGCGTCCCTCATATATCGAATGATTGTACATGGTCTGAGCCTCCAGGATCCTACCTCCGACAATAACGAGTTTCTAGCTGATGTTCTCACCAACCTTGGATTGGTTTTTACATCCCAGCAAAAGTTGGAGCCCGCCCTAGACGCTTTCGATAAGTCGTTTCAGCTGATGAGTGAACACAACCTTCTCACACGTAATGCGTCTATGTCCATCTTGTACAACAAGGCCGTGGTGTATATGATGATTGATAAACTAGATGAAGCGGAAATGCTTTTGCGAAATGCAGCTGCGCACTTCTCGGAAGCTTCACGGAGTGACCACACCCTGATGCGTACTCAGAGGAACAACCTCTACTTGCGCATCTTAAACGATATGGGCGAAGTCTTGTTGCGCAAAGGCTCTGCATCCGAGTCACTGGAAGTTTTTCAGCGCATATGCTCCAACTACAAGGACTGGCAAGATAACTATCATCCGGCTCGGCTGTCTGTGAAGTTGAATATGGGAAGAGCTCTGACCAGACTCGGTAAATATGCCGAGGCTCGGGAATCGCTTGACAATGTCATTTCAGTATATACTGAATGGTGGGGACGACGACACCCAGAGACTATGCGGGTTATTGACGAGCTGGCCTGGAGTTTCATGGAAGAGATTCAGAACAAACGGACAAATGGTGGGGATTGGAACTCGTTGACGGGAAAGGCCGAAGAGCTTTGGAACGAAGCATTGATCTTCTATCGCAATTATCATGGAGATGAGTCCGATGCTGTGCATTTTATCGGAACGAACTTGGAAACTCTATATTCCTTTCGACAGCCTGCGTGGAATTTGGAGTTCGACGTTGCGATGTCGGGCTCCATGGTAAACTACCTGGTTACTGAATGACTTCATTACCAGAGAACACGAGCCAATCATGCAGATCTTTTCAGCTGAGTAGATCATATATACAAGCCTCAATTATCGGTTGTCGTCGATTGTTGGAAGATTCACAGTGACCAGAAACTGGACCATATCCTCCGCAGCCTACGTTGCCCTAAGCACGGCCTGCTTCGATTTACACGTATAGTACACGGATCTTGTCTATGCAACACGGGGAGCAACCGCAGGGATCAGGTAATTTAGTGTGCGCCTTTGCCTATAAACGGCATCATATTCATACCCTTTTATCAGCTGATCAATGTATCAAGTCCCTCGTTATTCTTAGTTTACTTATTGTGTTCAAGTGAATATGGAAAGATGTTAAATGTTTACATGATCAGGATCCACTAAGGCATAATCAAATTGAAGTACTACTTCGCTACTTGGGATCCGAGACTTCACCATGCTGATAAAGGCTTCGAAGTTGTTCTCCTATCTCGACAGCAGGCCTTGAATTGTCCTAATAAAAACGGTGTCTTGGCTTCGTAAGAGATCAGATATCGTCGGCCTTGAATTCGTTGGTTCAGAGCAAGTACGGATTGCTCTTAGAACCTCAGCTTCATCCATCTCAGACATGGAGGTCACGTAAGGGAGAGCCACGATTGACCCAGAAAGTACCCGGCACGTCCCGATAATTTTGATTAGCCCATGCAGGCTCTCTAGCTTGTTTCAGAGTCTAAAGCTGAAGTGAAATCATCTAGCCCCATGTCTAGTCTGGGGTGAAAGGTCTTCTAGAATTTTGTTCCATGATTGGGGTGGCGTTGGGGGCTGTGTATACTAGTAAGCCAAGACACGTAAGTAATTGTACCAGAACCATGGTGCCAACTAATATCTTTCGTAAGGCTCAAAGTAGCATCTTCACCCTCTAAAGTATTCAGTATTATACTGCTTACTACATCTAGTGCTTACTACGGCATGTTGTTAACTAACTTATTTTGCTTACTACATATAAGGTGAGACTGGTAGAATCACGTGACCTGTAATATTTCGGTACTCAGTTAGTATCTTACAAGCGTATATCATTGTTTTCCTAGTGTTTCATTGACCGTTAATAAGTTTCAGCCCCCATAAGGCTTTCTGGACTACGAGGATGTTGTAGTAGAGGGAGCAAAGCAAATGATATATATCCTATGATTGTTTCATAAATGTAGACTACATATTCCATAATCCAGGATTTTTGTAATCTTAGGATATTCGCTATAGTGTTATTGATTCGGCCGCAACAAAACATCATTATGACTTCCTTTCCACCTCCTCCTACTCAGTCCCTAGGTGAGTAGTCTCCCTCGCGGCCGCAAGTGTGTAATCTAACAAATCGTGCAGAATGGGAAAAGCTCGGGATTGCGCCTATGGATGGTCAGTATATGCCCTGAGACACGAGAACTGAGACATGAAAATATGTAACATGACTGACAGTTTCTTCGCTATGTAGTAAACGCTCATGTCGAGTGCGAGTATTCGGTATTCACTGGTCATTGGTCCGAGCCCCGACTGGTCGAGGATCCTCTGTTGCGCATCCATGGTCTCGCGCCAGGGCTCAATTATGGTAAGCATGCGTGTCGAAGGCTCCAAGTCAATCGCTAACAACGCCATAGGCCAACAAGCATTCGAGGGCATGAAAGGTATTGTGACATGATACCTGTCTACGGATGGCTCTTGAAGGAATGTGGAACTGACTTTACATCAGCCTATCGTGACCCTCAAGGCCAGATAAACGTCTTTCGCCCCAAGGACCATGCAGCCCGGCTAGCCTTGTCTTGTTCCGCTGTTGCTATACCCACCATTCCGGAGGAGCTCTTCCTGCGTAGTGTCAATCTCGCCATTGCCGGGAATGCGGAGTATGTGCCTCCGCACGATACAGACGCTGCGCTCTACATTCGACCTCTGGTATTCGGATCCGATCCTTTCTTTGCCGTCTCCGCGGGGACTGGATATAAGTTCTGCATCTACGTCCAGCCCTACAGGGCATATCATGGAAGCCAGCCTATACCCGCCCTAATCCTGGAAGACTTGGATCGCGCTGCTCCTAAGGGTGTTGGTCATGTCAAGGTCGGCGGAAATTATGGACCCGTCCTGAAATGGAGTGATCAGGCTCGTGCTGAGGGTTACTACATCACTTTACATCTCGACAGCCGGACCAATTCCGAGATTGACGAGTTCAGTACCTCCGGATTCATTGGATTGAAGAAATCCGGAGATTCCTTCACAGTGGTGGTGCCCAGTAGTCGCTCAATTCTAAAAAGTGTGACCAGTACCACATGTCTAGACTTGGCCAGATCCATGGGTTGGAATGTTGAGGTTCGCCCGGTATGTCTTTCGCTAAATTGAATACGCCCCTTCCCTTGACTAGGATTGGTGGTTTACGTAGACTAACCTCGATTGCAGATTCCGTATTCTGAGCTCCAATATTTCGATGAAGTCATCGCGGTCGGCACTGCGGCAATGCTGGTATCCATCAAGTCGATCACCCGGAGGTCTACCGAGGAAACTTTCGCATATAACACTGACGGTTCAGGTGATGGTTGCAAGCAGCTACAACAGGGCCTTCTCGACATTCAGAAAGGAAGAGTTAAGTCGAACGAGGACTGGCTATGGCAGGTCTTGCCTATTGAGCAGGAAGCTGGTGATAAAAATGCATAAATGTAGATACCATAGCGTGATGATTGGTTATATATTTCATGGAGTTTTGTCATATTATCATGGGTACAAACGCGCCAGACTCTTCATCGTCAATTGAAGGCTGATGTTAGGTTAATATATATATCGACTAATGACTGTAGGTCATGATGGGACATGAGGATATTAAGCTGTTTGGTGAATTATATACGCAATGACACTAGTATCTGTAGAGTACCAAATTCTAAGGGTTATCCAATGAGAGTCGAACTAGCAAGTTGTATGTCATCGTCCGTGCTAAAGCTTTACAGTCCGTCCTGAGGGTTTTGTGATGTGGGTGCCTGAGGCAAAAACATTGAAAGTCATAGAATGGCGTCCTTCCACACCTTTCAAGCACATATAAACGCAGCACTAACAGTGCCAGTGAAGCAGATCAAAGGCAACTCACTTGTCAGGCGTCAACTCTATGCAGTCCTCCCGATGCAGGTAGGTTAATGGGAACTTTACGGGAAGCGGACGCGTTACTGCCACACCGGAGACCATCCGCCCGTGCGAGAGGATCTGCCTTCAGAAGCATTATGAGGTAAGCAAAAACAGATTGAAATTGTCATAGAAGGTTGCTGATAGAGTCATCCTTGGTTACTATTACGGTAGTCAGCGGGTAGTGTGGAATGGCATAATTGTGTGGCTTAGAAGACGGTTCTGTATTACATGTTCTATAGTTAGTTCACTTACAATACTTGCATGTTCGGTTACACCTCCATGCTTACGGTATTAATTACTGTATTTCCGTGTAATTGGTTCGTTGCCCGACCCCGCATCATCAACTACTACTGATAAGATCGGCCATGAACTGCGCCATGGAAGCCTCTAGTTTCTCGCGTCAGCTTCCGCTGCGAATCGAGCAAGAGCAGGTACTAGCATGTACTCCACCATGGGTCCAAACGCGCCGCCAACGGCTGCGGCCACGAGGCAGAAAGCTGAGATGAGCTAGCTACTAGCGCCGCACATGGCAAACAAGTCAGGTGGGATGGTCAAGCCTCCCATGCTGACAGGAGGTCTTACTAGATAGTGCTCGGAACAGACTGGCTAGGGCTGAACTTCGTGTTGAAGGGGCGCTTTCTCGACAGGATTCGGGTTTCATGAAGCTAAGCATAGCCATGAGTGGATTGGGGGCCTATCGTAATCAACTGGGTGTGAAGCCCTGTCACATGCCATCTGTCTCCATTTAAATCGGTCAGAGTTGAAAAAGAGATTTGAGATCTTCATGCCACTACTCTGAGTTGATTTGAACCGTTCATCTGGGTCGGCGCGCAGGAGGCACCCATGGCTGCCGATATGGATACCCAGCGCAAGCTGGCTCGCATACTGCTCATTGAGCTTATGGCGTGAGTAGAAGCAGGAAATGCAAAGCGTGGTACAAATTGCACTGGCTAACAGCAGGCTTTATTTGACCTAGATACCAATTTGCTTCCCCAGTACAATGGATTGAAACGCAGGACGTAATCCTCTCTCGCAGGGAGTGCGACAAGATCGTCGAAATCGGGCCCACTCCGACACTCGCGGGCATGTTTCAGCGAACTATCGACAGCAAGTACCAGACTCAGGAGTGCACCAGGCCTAAACCGCGACGACTCTTGAATTCAGAGAAGAACACCCAAGAAGTTTATTTTGAAGACTCCCCCGGTGTCGTTGAATCTAAGCCGAAGGAAAGGACAAATGACGCAGCAAAGCCAGCTGCTAAACCATCTCCTGTCAAAACAGAAGTGGCTCCGGTAGCGCAACCAGAGACGGTATCGGCACCGACGCCGAAGCCAACAACGATAGAAATCGAGGATGAAGGAGTAAAGGCACAGTTGATTGTGACTGCGATAGTGTCACGAGCGCTCAAGAAGGCGCCGTCCGATGTTGACTGGACCAAGTCTATCAAAGTTCTTGCTGGCGGTATGTAAAGTCTAGGGTAGCCTGTTGATTCTTTGCGGATGCTGATGAGCTCAAGGCCGCTCAACTTTGGAAAATGAGGTCGTTGGAGACCTCCATGCAGAATTCGGCTCGCTCCCAGAGCGCGTTGAAGACACACCTGTGGCCGAGGTGTGGCAGGCGATCCAGGCAAGCCATAGTGGTGTACTCGGAAATGTGTCCACAAACATGATTAATTCGCTTTTCACTTCCAAACTGCCCAGTGGGTTCTCCACCGCTGCGGCGCGAGATCGACTTAAGACACAATGGGGTCTTAAACAAGGGCGGCAGGATTCTTGTCTACTCCTTGCAACGACAGAGGCACCCGTGACGAGGATTTCGTCTGAACCCGACGCAAAAACTTACATTGACGGCATCGTGGAGAGCTATGCTTCGAAGAACGGTATTCCTTTACCGACATCTCACGCCTCTGCGGACGGAGCCTCGGCTTCCAATATCATGGTCGACCCAGAAGCATTGAAAGCGATGTCTGAGGCTCAGAAAGCGGTGTCAAGACAGCTCCTTAACATATATGCCTCCCAGCTCGGTCTAGACCTGGGAGCGGATCGACAAGCATTAGACGCTCTCCATAACGACATCAAAACCGGGCTGCAACCAGAGCTGGATCTCTGGACGGAGGAGTACGGGGAAGACTACACCAACGGTATCAGGCCACGATTCGATTCCCGCAAAGTCCGCACGTACGATTCGGCATGGAGTTGGGCCCGTCAGAGGCTCCTCGAGCTGTCCGAGCTG